GATGCTCCGCCATTCTTTCGCGAAGCTTTAACAACTACGTCTGGATGAAATCTGACAACGTTAACCAGCCCGAGTAATTTCCTTCGCCCACCAAAGTCACCGGGAATAGTTTAGTAGCAGCACCCCCCCTCCATTCCCCCCCCCCCCCCCCATTCTCCATTTAGTGCTGACACTCCACAGCTGTTTGAAAATAAGGCCGACCATACGACCTATTTTGGTACCAACCTCGAATACATTCAAGGGTGAGGAAGTTCAATCGACCGGCAACTTTTAAACTGGGGCCGTAGCACTGACTTTATCTAGTATTCACATGCTTCCTCTGATCCCTTCCTCTACCTATATCCGTGAAAAGGAATTTGTGAGTGAGGAATGGTATGCGATGTTCGCGGAGAACGCCTCTACGCCTGCGAGTGGGGTTCAAGGAGGCTGGCAAGGGATATTGTATGCTAATTTGGCCATTATCGATCCGAACGCGTCCTGGACTTTCTTCAACAAAGAACCCTTTGATCTGTCGAAGATCGATGGGGGAGCTACGCGGACGTGGTATCTGGCCTTCGCTGCAGGTAGGTTTTGACCCCCATGGTTATTCCCGGACGAGCGTCTCAGTCGTTCTTTTGAGATATGGAACTAATGCCGATAACCTAGGTTTGGGTGGTGGCCCCAGGTGAATGACCTGATGGCGACAGCCCTGGGTGGTGCAGACCCGGTGCTCATAATTACACTCAACCCGCCCATGCCACGGGGGTTTGGTAGTTTTTGACATGGACTTTCATTGGTAGATAATATATAGATACTAATTATTTTTATTCCGTTGACATGATCTTCTGGGTTTTACACTGTGTATACAACCGTCCATCCACGCGCTTGTAGAGTCGCTCATGTGGCTTGTTCGCAAGAGAAATACGTTCACGTGATTCCCCCGGTAGTTTATTGCTGGCGATTAGGCCTCGAACGGTTAAGCCATAACTAAACTGCTGTATAGACGCTGTCCGCAAAATAAAGACGCCAGTTGCAGCTTCATTTCTCACTTGCTATCCTATTGCTGTTTCACAATAGGCTATTTCTGCTTCTTTACTGCTCTGCTTGATGTGCTTCATTTCCCATCCCAATCTAGTGTAACACCGCTATGGCTTGAGCTTTCGGCACCAGGATCGCGGTATCATCGCAGCAACGTCCATGTCCATCAAAACACCCCCAAGACACGTTATCAGCGCCAGTTGATCCTCCCTGCAGCAGATATAACCCTGTATCTACAGATCTTGGCTAGAATGATGAAAGATGATTTGATAGTATTTTTTCTACTCGGGTTTGTGACGGCTGGTTAACTTTACTACATCTTTAACGGGGTAGCTGGGACGGCGCAATAGTCGATAACTGGTAGATTCCTGTTGATATCAGTGGCATGAAGTGTCGCCAGAGCGATCTTCCTCTATTTCAATTGCCCTGGTTCATCTCAGCTATACCCCTCTGAATATATAAAACAGCTATACACAGGGGTCTCGTTTCCTCATAGAGTGCATTCGTCTCACTGGTTTCCAGGTAGACAGAGCAAACGCGACGCTAAGAACTGGAAGAGACGTCGCATTGCAAATATCTCACTCTCCGAGATATCTACATGGGAGAGGGATGGCATACGTGGTCTTTCAGGTATCGTACCAGGATACAATCAGGGTTGGATGTTTCGTGCGGAACACTATAGTTTATATATATATATATATATAACCATAACTAACTACAACCGCACAGAGCCAAATAAACAGTCATGTCCCACCGCCACCCGAACCCGCACCGTACGAAAGCAAAACAACAAACCCACAGGCACACTTCCCCAAGCGTCGGATGCCAGCCCAAAACCACTTCGGTCGCTGCAGCGCCATGTTGTATTCGAACCAGGCAATTGCGACATCGCACGATGCGATGGCGCCGCTGAGCAGGAAGGGGGGTTTACACCCCGTTTCGGATGACTCATCACCCACCACCGCCGTGGAGCGGCTCTAAAAGGAGACACGCCCCGGGCACCTCGAGCTTCGTAAGGAGATGACGCAAGCTCGCGGCCTCTTGTCTTCTTATTTAGCAAGGGCATTTCCTCCTCTTCCTTTCCTTTTCCTTTTCCTTTTTCCTTTTCCTTTTTATTCTTTTTCCTAGGGGCTTCCTTTTGGGATATGATACGTCGGTGTGGAGAATATGGGTAGAACTCTCGTCTGGACTACTTCGGGACTCCGTGCTGGACGCGCGCTCTTTCAAAACCAGATCATGTCAAGGAGGTCTACGAATTTCGGTTGCTTCGGGTCTATGATGCTAACTGGCCCGGTTGAGGGGGGTCGTGGTGAAAAAAAAATAAAAATAAAAATAAAAAAAAATAAAGATGATAGACTTCATGGATATTTATACGACACAGTGTGGTGATGAAGACAATGGGTTGGAGGCCGCCATGATATCCTCCCTGCGAAACTGGATGCATGGATTATGATTACGCATCGGATGGTCTTGTTGTGCTGTGTGGGACTATGATGCGAATTTCCGACCGTTGATCATCTCGTCGTCTCTATGGGTTGGCGGTATTCAGATGACCTGGGCGCATGTGAAGGAAACGAATGAAAGGGTTGGGATACAGTTGTCTTGGACCTGTTCCGCGAATTCCTTGGTGTGGTCGAACCCTGCGGCATGAATGCGGAACTACAGATGGACTACGAAGGAGTTGTGCTGGGGAAAGAATATATATATATATATATATATATATATAAACAAGGGAGCTGAGCTCGACGGGTTTCGATTGAAATTGGAGAGAGTTTACGAGGATACATGTGGTTATGGGGTGATTCAGAACTTGACAGAGGCATTTATCGTCACTACGCTGCGAAAGGTTGGACTGGACTTGTCGGAAGCATCATGCATGCTTGGGGGCGATTTATTCTCATTGTCTATCGGATTCTGACAGGATGGTTGGATAAGACAGCTGAGGAAGAAAAATGAAAGAAAATCTCCCAAAAGGAAGTAATGGAAAGGGTGAAAGTTAGAAGGAGTGAAGTCGCCGGGGAACCACAAATCAAAGACAAAAGACAAATCTCTCGACCCGGATACAGAACCCATCGGCGAAAATTAAACAATAAATTATTCTGCAGCTGATCACAAACGTAGAGAAAGTGCAGGTGCGAAAGGAATTAAATTAAAAACTGGCTCTGCTGACATCAGATCGATAATACCCGAAGCAAGTGGCGGGGTCCTCCCATCCTCGACACAATAACTCATCTCGCAGAGACCCTGCAGAAGAGCGATTTGAAGTTCTCTCAAAGGTTGATGTTGATGTTGATTGGCATGTTGAAGTCGATGTCACCCATGCAAACTTGGGACTATATTGGGTTTACTCATGTCAGCCGCGCTGTTGGAAATCAAGGGGAGTCGGGAGGCGGTGGATTTGCGCAACTTACCCCGAAGTTGTTATTGCAGCAGATAACGGTCTGGTCGCAGCTGACATTGGATTTGACGCAGTTGTGAGCTGTAAAAGTAAAAAAAAAAAAAAAAAAAAAAAAGGTTGATATCATGGTTAGAGCCTTCATTTCAAAGTGAGTTTCAAGGGTGAGAAGGGTTGCGACTCACATCCATCCTCAGTGCTGCAGCAGAAGGGAGTGCCAGTGGAGCATTGGTTCGATTGTTGAACGGGAGCCGAGGAGGGAGGGGGGCAAAGGCCTGGGATGTTTGGCAGCTTCAACCCTCTGGCAGCGAGGACAGCCTCGATCTCAAGCATAGCATCTTCAGGGATAGGCTCGGGGTCGGGTGTGGGAATGGCAATCGACTGCGAGAGCAGCATGAGGAGAGAAAGGAAGATGGAGGATGAGATGAACTTCATTTTTGCGGTGGAAATTACTTTATTTCTTCCCAAGTTAAAGGAGCAGAGCGAGTGGATGTGGAAGAAATTGCAGTTGTGGAGAGCTGTGGCGGGAGAGATGGGAATGGATGAATGGATTTTTTCTGGCGGCAGGTAGGTTCAATATGTACCAAGCCTTTTCTCCCTTTTTTCCTTTTGCACACTTTTCACTTGCTCTCACTGCCCCCCTGAGGTGGAGGGAAGCAATCTTGAATTCTGACTATGAGTTGGCACCAGCACCAGGGCATCTCGTGTTGAGGAGCTAAAAATAAGTCGAAATTAGAGAACAAGATTATTTGCTGTCCGGACCGAAGCTTGTGCCTTCTTTTTGAGACATAAGGGCATCATCTATTGGTGCGCAGAAAGCCAGAGAAGGAGCCCAAAAAGTTAAAATGTCCTTGGTTATGGGGAGTGTTGGGTGGTGGAGAGTTTCTTTTTGAGGGCAGCAATACGAACAGAACACTCCACGATCTGCAGTGAAAAGAGGCCCCGGCCCGGATCTAGCTGGCCCACGTGAAAATTGACCAGACCGAAGATATGATGCACCATATTATCACAGCTGCATTTAGAATTTCTTTTCAGCTCATCTTGCATGCCCTTATTCGCTGTATCTATGAACTTGTTTATGGTCTAGCAGGGAAGTCGACCAAGTTGCTCTTCGCTTTTTGCCAGTCCAGCGCATCTGGTGGAGACTTCGCACTCGGCCAGGCCTTCCACCAGCAGAATTTCTTAGTGACAGCCTTATGCACTCTTTTTGTACCGAGCTGAACAAGCTGTGAGATCATTTGTGATAGACCGACCCCAGACATTTTGAGTTGCGGGGAGTTTCCCGACTATTGCTTTATGAATCTCGCCTAAGCATCCTGTTCCTGGCTTTCGAGTCGTAAACCCTGATGGTCCAAAGTTTATTGTGGCACTTGTGCCCAGTTGGTCAGGAGTTAAACAATATGGAGGCTTGTGCTTATTACAGGCTTTCATTGATGGTGGGGTGGTTGGCCTGGACCTTATGCTCGCTATACGAGGTACCGATGCATCCGCCATTCTCTGATTGGTTCCCATGGATTTTGTTGAGGCTCGTCAAACGGTCAGCTCTATTGACACCCGGCGTAACAACCAAGCTTGCCGGGAGAAAATTTTTATATTGCTCGAACTTCTAGTGACATCCCGACTAACTTAGCCCAAACATCAGAGACGGACCGTTAATATTTGCTCAGGAATGTTTTTCAAAGACTAATCATACTTATCGTGCGGGCTCAAGTATGAAAGGATTGTGGGTACTTTACAAGTATCGTAAAGAGTACAGCGATTTGTTTCTCTGGACAGAAGGCGACCCTTGGATACATCAATATGGTTGATTATCGGTCCGAAGATGCTCTTTTCATATCCTTCTCACATGGCATCCACGATATGATGCTGTCAGAAGCGAATCTAAGACGTTGATTTGTTGAAAGAGGAACAAAAAAGAAAAAAGAAAAAAAGAAAAAAAAAAGGTAGGAAAAAAAAAGGAAAAAAGAAAAAAGAACCTTGAGAGAGATATACTTGCATGTGCTGTCATATGGATTAGTGGGTGTTTGGAGAATCGGCTTGAACAATGGGCCAATGTCAACCTCGAGATCCTGCTCTATATCCTTTCCCGTTTGGACATATCAGTTCCTGTTCACTGTGATTTACCGCCACCAAATCCTTCATGCTCGCAGCTGATTTGTGAATCTTAGCGAGGATGCAGGAGCGCCAAAGGCACAGCTTATGGGCAGATGCCGGGATTGAGGCTCAACTTTTCTTTCTTTTTTGAGGGACATCTGGAGAAAATCGTACAGCATACCCTTCTCCTATATGACCTAATGGGCACACGGGGCCTTTAAGCTAATCAGGTTTGGGCTAGCATTCTCAGCTGCGATGAATACCCGTCAGCCAAGCTCAGGCTTTTCGGCCCTGATTGTAAAGTCTATCGACCACACCACTTCATCTGCCCTGCCTACGAGCAAGGCTGGGCTAGCAGCCACGGTGAAAGCATATATTTGCAGCGGTCTGGATGCATCATGATTTGTGGGTTGGCTGTTTCCCTTGAGATCTTGTGTCAGTTTGATACGAGTCTTTCGATTTGTCCAGGCCAAAACCCAGCTCAGTTTTAAAAATAACAATCTTCATTCTTCACAACTTTAACGCCTTCGACTCACAGGAATGGTCAAGTGTTAGCCCATTCATGTGAAGGAAAAGGAGTAGGAACTTTCAGCAGGGGTAAACTGAGATTGGAGGCTCCCATTTTCGCTTGTCCGGGAACGCCAGCATGTCAGCCACGAGACATCAACGTGTAAGGCACCGTTTGTTTGGCACGATGAAATATGCCATGGCTTTTTTTTTTGGGTTTCGGCGAAGTGAAGCTCCATCGCTTTGACGGCAGGATGCTGGGGCGTGAGGGACAATGAGACCGTCACTTTCAAGCAAAGAAGATTTCTTCAATCGACGATGGAAAACCCCAAGGGAAAGGCCATCCAGGAAATGCATAAATAGGACCTTGATTCCCGCCGAAATGTCAACTTTTTTCCTTCCCTCATCATCAACAAGCATCAGTACAATCTTCTAATACTCACTCTTCTAATCTAATCTCAAAACTTTCGTTTAAGAATTCTTCTTAATCAACCCCCCAAAACCATCAAAATGCAGCTCTCCAACATCGTCGCCGTTGTCGCTCTCCTCGCCACCACCGCTGTCGCCAGCCGTTCTCCTCCCCGCCCACAGCGCCCATCCCGCCCAGTTGCTCCTGTCTTCCAGAGCATACAGTGCTCTTCCGGCAGCCCCTTCTGCTGTGCTCCGGAGAGCACCCTCGGCACCACTTGCACTGCCATGTCCGGCAGCTCCGTCCAGTGCAACAGCCTCATTGTCTGCTGCAACAACAATGGCAGCGGTGTAAGTATTGCCGGAAGCAACAATCACTTTCCAACTTGAACAGACCAGTATCTAATCCAATAATCTTTCCAACATATAGACTCAAGTCTGCTCTGCTACTCTCCAGCAGCCAGTAAACTTCGTCGACCTGTAAATGCCCAATCGACACAATGGTCGCAGCACATGACAAGTTGCCTTTCATTCGAGATGCCTTCGATTGACGATTTTACGATATCGATTACTTCTTCACATCTTTCGGAGAACGGCTTTGGGCGGTTGAAGCTGGGTCAGCTTGGGCTTACTTGATAGCTACTCATGTTTTCTACGTCTCCTTTTTGCGCATGACCCTCGGTTCTGTTCGCACCTACAGATAGACTAATGTTTTGGGGGATGTTGAGATTTTCTGTCATTCGCTCTTTTTCTTTTTTGCAAACTGTTTTGTTTATCTTAATTTGCGGAGTGTTAATGGATGAGGAGGTGGAAGTTGTTAATTTGAGTTATTGCAGGGAGTGAGTTGATATTGTCCAATCTGAGCTTGATAATCCTGATGGATGACTTAGGCATTTCATTGACCTTCTTTCGATGGCCCGGGAAGGAAATTTGGTGGGACTTCTCGATCCTGTTTCCTTTCTCTAAAATAGTGACATGGAGAAGCTAGCTTATTCAATGGAAATGCCTCATCAATCATTTTTTTTGCTTCTCAACTTTTCCTTAATCATTGTCCCTTTACTTTGTTTAAAAAAAAGAAAATCAATTTCCGACTTTCTCCTTTCTGAAATTTTGGTTTCAGTCTGAATGACTCGCATAACAAGTGTGTAATGGACTTAGATCAGGGGCTCTATGTTTCAAGGTCTACATTACATTTCTTAGCAACGTTCTAGTTCTTGGAATCCTTAATTTCGACCGACAAATACGGGTTTCGAATCTCATTGATTCCTACAGCGCACAATATCTCCACATCTGATTTCAAAAGAAAAGAAAAGAAAAAGAAAAAGAAAAAGAAAACTGGGGTGTGATTAATTGATATCGTGGAGAATGGATGGAATTTCACATGCGGGATGAACACATCAATTCATCATTCCTGTCCTGACTGGAGCGAGCTGAAGCTGGAACACCTGACTGGTCTTCTTCTTTGATCCTCCGGTTTTTGCGGTTTATAACTGGTTGGCACGGAAAATAAATGCAACGACAGGTCAATATGATGAGAACATACAGGAGTATCACGGGCATTGTTATAAAAATAGAATGAAATGCTCCAAAATTATACTCTCCATATCTGCATTTGTGGCTAAACGCCTCTCTTCCAACGGGGAAAGTTTGGCTCGTCCTTTTGCTCATTCGCTCGTTCGTCTGGCTTTGCTTGTCTCCTGCAGAACGATGGGCTTGATTTTGGTGGTGGCGGAGACACTGGGCCTAGCCAATAATATGTCCAGCTGCCAACCACTCCACCAAACGGGAGTGAGAGAGACAGGTTTTGTTCCCTGTGGGCCCTCGCGCGGGATGTGGGGTTGTGGGCGTGGGAAAACCGTGTGATTGATCGAAATCTAACATTCATGTAGTTGTCATCGGGGCTGATCTAGAGCATTAGAGTCATGCTTTTCGGCTGACCATGACGACCAGTCAGGGCTGAGGCGTTGAGGAGGCAGGGCATCTTCTCTCCAGCGACTGAGAGTCCAATCAGAACGAGGTTTGCCTCAAATGACCAGCATTTAGATCAAGCTTTGAGATCTCGGAGGTTTACAAACTTCGCTGTTGCAAAGATCATCAAGGCATCGGTCCGCATACAAACAGGAATCTTGTGATTTACTACCACTTCCGAAAAGGTAAACCAAACCCAAGGTGGCTTTTTCAAAAGAGCCAAAATAAAGCCATTTCTTCCAGGTTCCTAAACATGAACCTGGCTGGGGTCTACTGCGTAGGAATCGGTTAGCCAGGATTTATTTGGGGAGGTCGTCTAGGACATATCCACAATCGGGGCTCGAACTGTGGAGTTGGCGTTTACGCGCTAAGTCAGTGCTAAAGAGAAGCAAGCAAAGGCTCTGTATCAACGTCAACAGCATGCAGTCGGACAGCAGAAAGTGAGATCTTCACGATAGGAGGCAAAAGTTTGGATCCGCTTGTGGTTTTCGCCCTCTCAGGCGAACAATTATCGCAAGTTGTGAAGTTGGGAGGTTCAACCATCACGGAATGCGCTTCGTTGGACTTCCACCAGGTTTGATGGGCGATCACCCCCCTTTCTTGGGCTAGCGGCTGTGCTTCTTTCGCCTCCGCCGGCCTCTTGTAGACCAGCTTCCTCCTGAAACTGCTAAAAAAAATCGGCACTCTCTTTGGCCTCTTGGCCGTGTGTTGGTTGCATAGAGAGGAACTGAGGACATAACCCCTGTCTTGGTTGCGATAATCTCTTTTTCATAGTAATAATTCTGAAAGAGTACAAAACAGGGAATTGTTTGTCGGTGTCACTGTTTTGTCCTCTTTTCTAGTTCCAGTTCTCAACAATGTCTATTTCTCGCTGTTCCGAGGACATGGTATTATCCACTTAATATTATCGGGGTTGAAAGGCGAAATGGTCTATATGAGATCTACATTGCTGAATCCCAATTCCACGACCCACACTTTTGCTGGGCTTTAGGAGCTTCCATGCAGGGTGTTGGTGAGCTGGGCTCCAGCGCAAAGGAGTTGTTTCACAGTCTAAAGCTGCGTTTTCGGTCCACCTTTGTAAGTATGTTTGGGTGAATTCAATTAATCCATGTGGGGTTCATGGCAAATATTCCCACTTATAACCAACCTTCTCATATACATTAAACTAAATGCATGATCGTACCCACGAACACAATCCAAGCAGACGGGGATTCCGATCCTCTTTACCCTCGTCTTCAGATTTATTCTCATGCCGGGGCATCTGGAAGCCGTCTTGCTTTACCGACTAAGTGCTGATATCAACTTGACACCTTGAGACGGTTAATTTCGCGTTCTGGATCGCGAGAATTAGGATTACCCACAATTAGTAAAACGTCATATAGACCACTTTTTCAAGATTGTGCCCCATGAATCCAATGCAAGCAGACGGGGATGTTGATCCTCTTTATCAGCTTTATTCCCATGCGAGACATCTGGAACCCGTCTTGCATTACTGAATAAGTGCCGAGATCATCTTGCCACCTTGGGGTGGATAATTTCACGTTCTGGATTGCCAGAATAATTAGGATCTGACGGTGTGCAAAGCTACTGTAAACAAGTCAACTTTTGCAAATCGCAATTTGACTGTTCTCTAGTTGCAGTCGGTGTTCATGAGTCAGTGTCCATTCTTTGCGCCTTTTTTTTTGTGCTTCTCGGTGATGTGGCGTGGGAAGATGTAAATGATGTTGCATTCTTGTGGGATTGACTTGAACTCTTTGACTCCAAGAGGTGGAGTCGCACATCCTGTGTGACGGCGATTCTGGAGGGTATAAGGAATAGTCTCATTATTTGCAGCAGTGTGATCAAGGCAACGCATGGAAAGCACTGTGAATATGGAATAGCATCTAAAGACGATGAGGCGTATATCCATCCCCTCTGGCAACCTTGAGGAGGTAAAAGACCATATTATCTTTTACTACCTGGCAGAGTTGCCCAAGGTAGGCTGTATTGATTTTTCGACTTCCCACGAGCATATGTTTAATTGCGTCTAGCCAGATATCATAAGGAGGAAGTGCTAATCATCTTGAAGAAAATTGATTAGGTCCCCTTTGCTGGTACTTCAAAGAGCTTTGCACCCGCATCATTCTTCAAAGAGCCTGCAAGAGCTTGTTTACCGTGAAATCTGTCCGATGCTCCAACACCCGTTAGCTCCCAATCACGACCGGGTCCACCTTTTCGCGCTGGATTTGTATATGGAGTGGTTCACCACTCTGCTTATCACCTTGACAGACAACAGACTGGCTGGATCCTTGCCCCAACTGATTGGGAACATTACACTAACAGTACGGCCCAGATAAGCGAAAGAAGGCTCCAGGGAGTATGGGGGGGGGGGGGGAAAGTCCTTAGAAGATTTGGGTAACAAAGGGCCCTAGGAACATGGACCCTGGCAGACGAGTGTTGAACACACTTGATGATGATGATGATGATGATGATGATGATGATGATGATGATGATGCAGATGACATGAATGAAAAGGAGGATAAGAACGAATGAGAAGACTCAGATGACTGGGACAAATCTGATGCTAGGGGTCACCCGTCACACTTGGTCAACTGATGGATGGACGGTCAATGCCTTGATTGATACTCCCAAAACTGAAGAGTGATGAACAAGGTTCAATGCTTTGCTTTCAGGAGGATAAATCACCTGCTTTGTAGCTGAAAATCGAAATCAACAACAATTCTTCCCTGGATGGGAGCATCACCACACTCACGCACATAATTAGGGACATGTGTCTAATACATATAGTGAGGACCGCATTACCCAACAAATAATGATACCAGAACCCACTGTGGTGTGGTATTTCGTATATCATCCGCAAAACGGTGCGTTGGGGCGGGTGGAGGCATCCCTGGCAGCTCACGCCCTCTCGCAAGCACTAACACGACGCTCTAGCTTGCAAGAGGTTGAAGCAAAGTTGAGGAGCCAAATTTATGACGCGTTGTCAGGTATACTCCTCAGGTCAGTCATGAGGTGCTCATTCTGCAGTGCTGGGTAGGCTAGTTGCACAGGACTGGTGAGGATTTGTGGTTAATGGGAGAAAATATGTCCTGTACATTCGTATATATTGAGCATCGCTGACAGAGCAATCATTGCATGCACGCAAGTATTGAAATGGCCATGAAAACATCTAAAAAGCCGACATCTGGTCAGACGCGGATTTTAAGAGCGTAACGGCCGCGCGAAGGTGTTAAGCCCTTCTTCGGTTTGAAGACGTGACAACAGAGTTGGGAGAGTGTAAGGTTCGTTCCATGGTTGCCCTGGAGCGGCAAGTTTAACTTTAATCTTGCTCATAGATCGGAACCGTACAAACCATCACCCTGTGCATAGAAGAAAGATCTTCAGTCATCTGTCAGCCTCCTACCAAGAGAGGAGTTCAGGATGAGTTACTCTTGGGGGAGATCCGACATACGATGCCACAGCCATCTCGTTCGTTCCTTAGGAATGAGATAGCGCTTCGAAGGTGGTGAGTTTTATAGATTCGCGTACATAAGATCAATATCACGTGATCATGCGACCGACCAAAGTTAGATCTTTGACATCCGTCTCTGTCTCTTCGTTCATTCGACTCCCAAAAGCCAGCTGAATGAGTATGATCTTGTTACTTCCGAGAGGGGTCCTTTACATCATTTTACCGTCGACCTTGATTTCCTTGGAAATACAGTTATCGCGAACACAGTTGCTCAAAAGCATCATCTCTCTGGTTCATTCTGTGACGAATTCATAGGATCATAACTACCCAGCTGCACATTCCCTCCATCAACTGACGAGCTGGAATGGACTCAAAAACTGCAAGCAGGTACAGAATGCATATAGATATTTCTGCAATCACCCCGTGTTATCCGGATACGCCTCCTTGTGCCGTCTAGCACGATGTGTGGGCCGTGACACCGTCATAGCCCTTGCGGGCATGACATATATCGACTCGTAAGGAAGCATTATTACGTCTCAAAATTAACACGGTTTTTATAGAAATGCGCCTGCATCTCTGACATTGGTTCCAATTTCTACGACGAACTGGCACCCTTGCACTTCATGCGAGATGATGGGTCTCTCTGTGACCGTCTATGAAACCATAGCTCATCTCCGACAGGACGTCTTGCCGATGTAATGCACATCATGGCCTATTTCTCACTTGGGAGGAATACGGGATATGTCAATCTCGGTCGTGCCTTTAGGGGAGCTGTTAGTTTCTATAAGTTTCTTCACAACTCGTTGAACATCTGGAGTCGATAAAAAGTGCGCCCATTTTTGGGTCTGACTCCCAAAATCCCTAATGTGGATATCATTTTCTAGCATTCCACGCAAATGGTTCCCGTGGAAAATCCGATCCCCCTGACTGGGATAACCTAAGCCGATATATGATCCAGGCTGGCCACTGGCATGCATTCATTGCCTACCAAAACTCTGGCTTTATTTATGTGCAGTTAAGCAGCTGCTTTTGTTCAAGTTGATTCCTGAATTAGTACAATGTTGCATAGTTGCCGGAATCTTTTTGGCACTGTTGCTTTGTGCCAGATTTTCAGAGGAGCTTCAACGGACTTTTTCACATGGGTGTCGATGGGTTGCACTTTTAACACTATATTTCACAGTAGTCAATGAACTACAGATCCCACGAGAATCTGCACATTTTTAAACCGGAAAGATGGCCTGAGGAACTGTAGACAAAATTCCTCATGATTTCTCTACCTTTTCATGATATGGAGATGCTGGGTATTCTGATTTCCTGGAGGTTGTTCACAAAAGCCGCGGCGCAATCGAGGCCCATTATCACCTCCGAATCATGATAGGAGATTCCGAAAAGCTGTTCTTTGGGAGCAGCCAAATGTTTGTTAGATCCCTCCTGTGTTAGCCATTGCAGCAATGAATCTGTACTCCCTTCATAACCACATCCATGTTCAATTCTCAAACATTTCTCTCCGCACTGTGATTGCTCTATGGAGCCAACATCGCTGGGACTTATGATTGCCATTTCCTGGACCCTCTCAACACTGGTTTCTCATCTCTTTTCTGGACTCCACCGCATGCTTTCTCTGGTTCCGAGTTGGCAGCTTGTTTAAATGGTATTGCGGGGCTGAGGGTCTTGTGAAGTGTCCTGGTCCTTCCTCCTGAAATGGAGATACGGGACAAGTGCGGTAGATGTTATTTTTGGAAGTTCAACTTGACAGTGGGCTCCCTTCACTACTTCGCGACCGCTTTTGATGCAAGTTTTCCTACTTGTATATTAGATATTTGTGACCATTATTTAATGGGTTTGCTATGCATTTTAGGATGCTTGGGATCACTACAATGGAATCATGACAAAGAAATCTTGCCAAATGCTCTTATGTTCACATATAAGGGATGCACACCGCAGTTTCGTTTGAACACACCCCACCCAACAAAGTTGACGTTTTCAAAATTTTTTTCGAGAATCGAAGTATCGAAACATCTAATTCAATTTTGAGTAAGGAATTTGGAGAAATTGACCCAGATCATATTATGGTTTATGAAAGAGAAACGGAGCAGTTCATGTGGTCTTATTGGCTTTTCATTCCGTATTACTGGAGAAAATTTAATGTCTGGGAGATAGGTGATACTGAGGTTTCGTCTAACTGATACATCTACGGTTGAGAAGATAACACAAGGTATGAACAGGCAGACAAATTATATGGCATCTGTCCCCATCACCCTCTCTTTCGACTTTGCTAGTTAAACTAAGTGACTAAGATCTCTGCTTGTTAACAGGTCCAAGTTTCCTTGGAAAGCCTTCTTTGCTCTTGTGAGCTCATACCATTTCTCTGTCCGAAATCGCTCGGGCAGGCACTCTTTTGACTTTGAGTATCCGATTTCATTCATCTTGTCGGGACGGATCTATGGATCAAGTCCCCAATTTTGTCCGGGACGAGCCGTTGCGAATTTCGGATAGAAATCTGGAATCACGCCCCTTCCAACCCCCAGCTATTGTCGAGGCAAAGTGCAACGCTCGCGGTCCCCCACATTCCCACCTTAGTTCACCCATGGTTGAGATCTCATCGGCGATGGGTGTTTAGCGTTTACATCTCAGTGTCTCATGGAGTTACTGGCCGTCCTCGACAAGAAACGGGGATGTTGGGTCCCTGGCTCTTGCACTTCAAACGGTCTTTTGATATTGAATTTATTTCGTTTGATTACGACTGGCTGCTAGACTAGTCATGCTTTTCATGTCAGTCAGTTTCATTTTGAAACTTCTGAAGGCGGACATTTGCCACCGGACTTAAAATGCTGCGTACCTCTTCGGAGCTGGTTGATGCATTTGAACCCTATATTTCCCACAATTATATCGATTCATCCAAGTCTGCTCGCACAGGATATCTCACTGACGGTAAACAGCATGGGTTATTGCAAGAATCAGCTAGAGAACTTGCTGATAGTTCAACAGGCCATCAGACTATGGAAATCCTCCATGAGCAGCGGAGATGAGACTTGAGCTTGGTATCATCCACGTCGAACCTAAGCATCTACACAACAGGGTCCACTATTATGCAGTGTCGGACAACGCAATTTGATATCTTTCAGATGGAAATGGCTTCAGATGACTCGCAGATAATAAAAGAGAGAAAGAAATGCATCTGCAGATTTATTTTATTTTATTTTATTATATTTTTTATTATTATTTTATCTACGGGGTATACAGATCTTCTTCTATCTACATTTGTGAAGATTGGATATCCATTTTCCACTTCCTTCATGGACGCCTCCCCCCCCTCTCCTTTTTTTCTTCAGTCCAGTCCTCTCGCAGGCAGTTGGCTCAGAGAGGACGGAACCGGGAACGGCCTTCGAACGTCGTCGACCATCCGAAGAGCAGCCAGTCCACATATAAGCTCTGTCCCCCTGTGGCCGCCAGACTCTTCGTAGTTTCCCAACAGCTACTCGAAGCTAGAAGGATCATTGCGGGTGTAACTGTGCTTCTGACTGTCCAGTTCAATCTCCTCCGATCAATGGGCGCTAGCTAGCCAGATGCAAAGGGAATAACTGACCTTCTTCAGACTGTTCAAGACACACGTAGACTTCATGGAGTATCCAGGAGAATATGCGAAGAGACGAGCCTCAAAAGGACTTCCAAGGCTATTATTATACATAGTTTCTTCGTTTCTCCCCCTCTTCACCTGTCCTTTCCACTTTCTAATATCAATCTTTCAACGTCTCCTATAGATAAATGAATCCCTCTCTACCCATTCTTTCCACGTTCCATATAACTCTTTTATTTCAATATTATTTTAATATATTTTTTTTCCTGGTGATATATCTATGTACATATATACACTAAGGCTGCCCGCCAACGACTCACGCGCCGAGTGCAACACCCAAAAATGATCCCAGCTCATTAGTTACATGCCAAAAGTTGCCCACGGCATAGATTTTTCTCCATGGATGATAGATCAATCAAACGGAGCGAACACTTAACCCCCTCCCCACCAACCTTCCTAGGTATCACCAGTTCAGCAGCCCGTGCAGAGGAACATAACAGCAACCACGGAAAGCCAAAGAGTTCAATGTTCGTCGCCTTGGAAGTGCAAATGCTATGATCAATCACTGGATGCAAAAGGCCCCCGCGCATAGCCGATCCCTGATCGATGTCGAGTGACGTGTAATTTTTATTTGCCAGTCGCTGGTTGGGTCAGGTTTGTGCTAAGGTTAGAGAAGGTTTCTTAGGAGTTGGGCTCTTGAGAGTTTTCTGTCTGTATGATTATGATATGATACGTGGCGGTGTTTGCGGGGGGAAGGGTGTTTTATTTTTTTTTTTGTGTGTGTGTGTTTTGGTAACTTTCTGGGAGTTGCTTTTCGTTCTCTTTTCCGACGATGAGAGCAAGCGGTAACTAACTAAGGAAGCGGTGTGAGGAAATTTTATCTCTGTCCTTTTTCCCCCAATTTCAAATTCAAATTCCAATTCCAATTCCAATTCCAATTCCAATTTTTTTTTATTAAAGTTTTCTGCTTCTTTTACCCTGTTTTGCTTCTAATCAGGCTGATGTTCCAGAATTCGATCGAAATTCATATGAAGTGAGGTGCAAATAACTCAAGGCCGGGGGGGGGACCAACTTCGTGCTCTGTGGATCTTTATGTCATCGTCATGATTTTCATGGGATTACTTCGGAGTTCTTGGGGATGGGTTGGGCTGAACGTCTTCAGCCAGGATGAGAGGAAGGGGATTGGGAAAAGATTGACGTTGATTATCTTCTCTTTGCTTCTCTCCTCTCATCACAATGGAACGGAGTACTCGTCGTCTACCTCCTGTGATCCATCTTACATCTTTCACATGTACGTCTGCTGCATCATGGTGCGGCTTCTTTTACGGACAGTTTAACTGGTGGGTTAAAGTGAGGCTGTGCAAAATCAAGCCCTGGTCAAGGTTTGAGGTCATCTCGTGTCATCATTGATCGATGCTTGAACCTTTTTTTTTTTTTTTTTTTTTTCCAGCACAAGTTTGGTGTGACTGAGGAGACGATGATTGCCTGGCAAGTTGGCAAAACATCTCGCATGTATCACTGTCAGGATCAATTGAGAAGAGTTTATGCGGTTATGATTCTCCGTAGCAGTCTCGATGTTTGCGGTAACTAGTTATCAGGAAGTTCAAAGTGCTCTGTTGTAGTTATTATTCGCGACGTCGCAAAAAGGAGATGGGTGGAAACCAAAAAAAAGAAAACAAAAGTCAAAAAAATCAGAACAAATCCCACCAGTAGCCTGTGGCCCACCGGTAGTTGAGACGTTGTTCCGTAGGCGATGGAGATTCCACAATTCCACACGGACGAGCTATCCATACGGAGTACATATATGAATGCGATGGTTTGACTTCCACCCTCGGTTCTCTCTCTCTCATCCAGCCGCAAACATCCCTACCACCCCTGCCACAATCACCGCAAGAAAAGGAGAAGAAGAAGAAGAAGAAGAAGAAGAAGAAGAAGAAGAAGAAGAAGAAGAAGAAGAAGAAGAAGAAGAAGAAGAAGAAGAAGAAGAAGAAGAAGAAGAGACAATTCGCCGTATTGCAGATAGCCAACAAAACCAGGGAGTTCATTGCTGTTTTGTCCCTTGATTCAAGACCGGTACGTACTCTGACTTCCTCTCCCGGAGCACAGGTCGAGGAATGTGTGTATCGTGCCGGGCGGTTAAACCCCGCCGCCGCCTCTTGTCCCCGAGTGATGGCGATTCCAGCATGGGCCATGGCCAGAAGCAATGGAGGGGGAGGGCCCAAGATGAGACCATACTGTTTGCGGGGACATTTTGAGATTATTGCCCAGCGGCGGTTCTCCCTTGGCCGTTTGGAGCGATAAGTTAAGAGTGATGAAACGTATCCCAGGCGTATCCCAGGCGAATCCCCCAAGCAGATCAGGTTTTCCCCAAGTCCCTCACAGGTTCTCAACCTCTGCCCCCCCCACACCCCTTGAGACAGTCGTCCATTATCATCCCTATCCAGACATTCTCCCAGAGAAAGTATGTTTTCCTGGCCTTGTTCCCCCAGCTCTAAGATTAAGAATAATCGTTAACTGACCAAACGCCCCTGCGCGACTGTTCCAGGAAAAGGCAGATAAACGCCAAAAGATACACTCCTCCCCCCGCTCCAAGAGTGTTGAGGCTGTGCTGTTGCGCATTTTTATTTCAGAGTTTTCCGTCGATTTAACTAACCACTTTCCCGGAGTCGCTTGCTCGCGTTCTGCCTGATCAGTTGGTCAAATAACTATTTAACTAATAATAAAATGGGTAAGCAGTCAAGTAACTATCCATTATCCGACCCATTCCCCTCTGTTCCTCCCTCGATCTCCTGCATCTTCCGCAGATCATATTTAGTTTTGGATCTACAGCTCCTCTGTTGTTATCTTTTGTCACTCTCCTGGTTAAAATCTCTCTCTGCTCCCTGTGTACCTTACTTAGGTTTTTGGTTTTGTGTCCGCATTTTGCCCTAAGTTTAACCTTATTGTCCTTTCAGCTCTTCTTCCATTTCGCCTCTTTCTGTTAGCTACCAACGACCATTTACATCTCCTCCCCAGTTCTGTGCTTCTGGCCTCAGGAAATCAACCATTCAGATTGGCCTGTTTATTACTCTCTCTACCCCTCTCTCCTTCTCCTCAGTGTACTCCCTATCCCCATCTGTATCTCTCGGGTTCTGCCCTGTCAGCCCTGTTATGTTCCAACAGTACTCAGCCTTATCCTTACCGCTGTGGCTTGTTCCCCACCCAAGCTGTAGCGCAAGCTGTAGCCCTTTTCCCCTCCAATAAATACATTTGAAAAGATTGAAAAGCACAAAAAGAAAAAAGAAAAGAAAGAAGAAGAAGAAGAAGAAGAAGAAGAAGAAGAAGAAGAAAAGGACTAACCCTGCTCCTCTCCGCCCTGTGGCTGGGGACCGCTTCTGGTCTACCCTCCCATGACTTGGCCCTTCTGATTGCTCTCTCCATTGGATAGCTGCCACCCGAATCACCCACGAATTCCGCCGCCACTACCGATCAATCACTTCAATGCCCCGCTCCGATTCCCTTAACCGGGACGGCAATGGCTATCCCACCGACCACACCAGTTTGCTCCCCACAGAGAGCAACAGATGTGCCTGCTCACACCGTTCCAGCAACCACCGGACGCGACGGTCCTGGTGGCATCACCCTAGTCCCTGGGTGCACTATCCGTCTGAAGTTGTACGCCTGACATACGCCACCCTCACCAGCAACTATGTTAATATCCTGCTTGTCTTCGTGCCGCTGGGCATGGTATCGAGTAAAGTTGGCTGGTCCCCAACAGCGACTTTCGTCCTTAACTTTCTTGCTATTATTCCGCTGGCGTCGTTGCTGAGTTTTGCGACGGAGGAGCTGGCTGCGACGTTGGGGGAGACGTTGGGCGGTTTGCTCAATGCAACATTTGGAAATGCGGTGGAGCTTATTGTTTGTACTATTCTGTTGCTGCTCGTTTTAACCTAGGCACATTCAACCTTTGCTAACTCCTGTCACTGCGCAATAGGTAAGTATCGTCGCACTCAAGGATAACGAAATACGCGTCGTCCAGGCTAGTATGCTCGGCAGCATCCTCTCCAACATTCTACTGGTGCTGGGCTGCTGCTTCTTCGTCGGAGGCATGCGCCACCATGAACAATCCTTCAACTCAACTGTAGCTTCGACCATGTCGTCGCTGATGGCCGTGGCGTCCGCATCCCTGATCATCCCTGCCACACTGTATGCGGCCTTGACCAACTCCAAATCCGACACCCACGGCAACATCCTCATCCTCTCCCATGGTACAGCCATCATCCTGCTCATCCTCTATGTTATGTACCTATACTTCCAGCTAAAATCGCACACGCATCTGTTCGAAAAGGAGAACGACCACAACAATGCCGACGCGGTGAATGGGATTGAAGGGGGGGAGCGGGGAGAACAAGTAGTGGAAGATGATGAATCAGACCAGGAAGAGCGCATCCTAAACCCCTGGGCCGCTGCCATAGTCCTCTGCATCGTCACGGTCGCCGTCTCCATTTGCGCCGAATTCCTCGTCGGCACAATCAACAGCATCGTCGCAGACGCACACATCAGCAAGACTTTCATCGGTCTCATCCTGATCCCCATTGTGGGCAATGCGGCTGAGCACGTCACCGCCATCGTGGTCGCGTACAAGAACAAAATGGATCTGGCGATCGGTGTAGCCATCGGGAGCAGTTTGCAGATTGCGCTCTTCGTGACGCCGTTCCTGGTTATTTTGGGATGGATTATGGGGCGGGATATGACGTTGCATTTCCATTCGTTTGAGACTGTGACGTTCTTTTTGTCGCAGCTTGTTGTTACGTTGTTAATTCAGGATGGCAAGTCGAACTATTTGGAGGGAGGGTTGTGTCTTGGGCTGTAAGTTTTCTTTCTTTCCTCTCCCTTTTTCTTGTGCGCCGTTTTTTCTTTGAATTTATTATTTATTATATATTTCTTTTACAATTTTTTTTTTCTTTAAATTTTTTTCCCGGATTACTTGTCATCGTTTTGCGATGTTCATTTAGGAACTTAGCTAACCACAATGCCCTGCGATATATCAGGTATGTCATCATTTCACTCGCCTTCTACGTCTACCCGGACGATGCGGAGGATATCGGCGGCAGCATCCTCTCCAGCATCACCAGCCTGGCTACGGGATCTAACTCAACTGTCACAGCATAAATCTCCACATTTGATTATATTTGATTTATTGGTCATAGATATGAATAATCATCTTCTATTTTTCTTATCACTTTCTATTCCCTTGCTATTTCCCCGGTTTCAGTGTGCTTTGCTCTCCATTCTCCCTTCGGTCCTTCTCGTCCTCATTATATTCATGTCTCTTCATGGCTCATACAGCCCAACCCTTATCTCCTTTTTTTTTGTCCTCACAGTACACGACTATGAAAGAAAGGGGTGAGGAAAGAAGAAAAGAAAAATAAAATAAAAACGATTTCAATGAGGGCTAGGAAGTCTGGGCCTCATCTTCTCTTCTTTTCTCATCTCTTCATTTCCAACCTTTCCCTTCTCTGTCGCTTTTCCGGTCTTGAGTGTTCACGCCATTCCAATGCAAAGGCTGAACACGTCGTAATTTCTTCATATCCCTGGGCGGACGGTCTTGAATTACATTACTCCTCCTTTCCTGAGAGTTCATGTTGGCTTTTATAAATACCCCTTTTCATATCATCTCCTTCAGAACTTGGTCGCATGGGTTTATCCGGTCATCTCTGCTATCCTCACCTGACCTGACCTGACCTGACCTGACCTGACCCGCAACAGACCCGCGATCCCCCACCCGTTGACTTATTTTCATTAAATTTACGCTGTACATGTTATGCATCTTAAAAGACCTACGTCGCTTGACTTACTTCGTTGTTTTTTATACAACTGTACATACAGATTTGCATACACAGTCTTCCAATACGTTGGCGCGAGATGTCTCCACATCCCGTTTCTGGGTATCTTTTTTCTTATGTTTTTTTTTTAGTTTATATTCGATCTCTAGTTTCTTTTCTCGCCCCTGTATTTCATTTATAATTTTTCATGTATAATTTTTCATTTTCCGGTTTGAGATGAGATGTGGGTTTGGGAGGGGTTTTTTTTTTCTTTCCTTCTTTATGATAAAGGCCAAAAATTGCTGAAATGATTTCACTCTGGCATGGATCAAACTGGATAACAATATATTCCTACCATATATATATATATATATACCACACATCACACATCAAACGTGAATAATGCACGTCCACTTTCCACTTAGTAGCAGCCTTGAATATCACGTGGTATATTCTTGGCATCTATTCCCAATCCGGCTCCGGTCAACAACGCCAAATTCCGAGCTCCAAAATCTCCAAGACACGGAACCCGACGCATCCTGCTCGTGGATGACTCGATTGGACTGTGTTTACTATTCTCTAGACCTGTGTGACACCTGGACCTCTTGTTTGCACGTTTTCTCTCGGAGGGAGATATTGATACGGCAACCCATCGACGGAACGACCGCCGGATCGCACGGGGTGAATTCTTGAACAGGCAAGAAACGGAAGGGAGAAAGAGAGAAAGGAAGAAGGACATATTTTCTGCTTTGGGGACGGGAGACGGAAGATGAAAGTTGAAAGTTGAACAACTTTGAAATTCGAACTTCAAAATTCGTGGATCAATTGAGATTTTATCTATGCTCGAAAGACGGTCGACCAGCAATACCTATACCAAGTAGAAGAAAACGCGTCGCTGCGAGGCAAAGGGTATATAAGACAAACAATCTTGAGAAAATATACAGCACAACTACCGCAAAAAAAAAATGCCACCCCGTTTCGCCATCCCCCCCTTCTCCTCCCTCCTCCGCCAATCTCACCAGCAATGCGCCGCCTCCAGATTCTCACCATCTGCAGGCGAAAACGCCATCCGCGCCCTTTCAACTATCACCATGAGGAATGCGGGGGACATACTTCTTCGTCGGCCCGGTTTTGCCATGCTGGCGTATCGGCCTCGTGCTTCGTCTTCGCGGCGCGTGTCTTCCAAGAGTGATGCGGGTGGCAAGGGGAAGGGGGAGGGGGAGGGGGAGGAGGGTGAAGGTAGGGGGAGAGGAGAGGAGGTTGTTGAGCGACAACAGTCTGGGAGTGAATTGAGTAGTGTTAGTGAGGAGGCTGCGGAGACGGCGAAGATTATGGAGCGGAGGACGGAGTGTGGAGAGGTTGGGGGCCCGGAGTTGTTGCAGGGGAGTATGGTTGGAGAAGTACGTTTGATTCCCTCTCCATTCTGGTTTTTGTTCTTGTTTTAGTCATTGTGTGTGTGGATTTTGCTTTACGTTTGCGTTTACTGACTGATTGCTTTTGCGGTTTCTTTTGTAGATTTTGAAGAGGGATAAGGAAGCGTTGAAGAATGCTCCCAAGGTTTTGCGGGATCAACTGGCTGGCTCTTCTTCTTCTTCATCTTCTTCCTCCTCACCATCCGGCTCTAGATCCTTCTCCACGTCTGCACGACTGAGACAATTCACAATGCAAGAGATGCCATCCGCTGCTGAAAACGATGCGTCTTCTGCAGTTGTGCGAAGTATGATTAATCCTGCGACTGAGGAAAAGTTCGAGCAGGTGAAGAGGGAAGGGCTTAAATTCGATGTCCCCGAGACATTGCCCAGGTCTGATCACTTGAAGCATCGCTACGATCCATTGCTAGACCAGTTTACGAAAATGCTCATGAGGCACGGGAAGTTGAGCGTTGCGCAGAAAGTGAGATTCTCTACCTAACATTTTTTCTAACCCCCCTCCATCTCCCCGGGCAAAACCAACATCTGGCAAACCACTGAACTAACAACCCCACACCACACAGCACATGGACGCAATCCTCCACCACCTCCGCTCCTCCCCCGCCCCAATCCCAGACCCATCACTCCCCCTCCTTCCAGGGCCCCCCGCCTCGCATTTCCCCCTAAACCCAATCCTCTACCTGACCCTAGTCATTGACTCCGTCTCCCCCCTTCTACGCATCAAGCAGCAACCCGGCGCTGCCGGTGGAGGTCGCTCACTCCCGATCCCGATCCCGCTAGCGCTTCGCCAACGCCGTCGAACGGCCATCAAGTGGATTCTTGACGCTTCGGAGAAGAGGAGGGATGCGGCGTTGGCTACGCGAGTGGCGCAGGAGATTATTGCGGTTGCTGAGGGGAAGAGTTCGGCGTGGGAGAAGAGGGCGATTGTGCATAAGCAGGCGACGGCGGCGAGGGCGAATATTAAGGCGTTGGGGATGAAGAGAAGAAGTTTTAGGTAGGGGCTCTTGAGGTGGTGGGGAAGAAGGGGGTTCTGTATTCTAAGATGGGAGGATTGTTTTATATATATGTTGCTCTTGTCATATGTTCCTCATCGGTTTTCCCTTGATTCCTTATTTAATCTGATAATTTTTTGTAGGGCAAGTTCGAGAACAGATTCAAGCACTGCTTGCATTCTTGTACACATTAACATCTGAAGTTAGCAAAAATTTTTGCAGTTGCATTTTACAATGAGAAGAAATACAATGTTATGTATGTTTTCACAGTGTATGTGCATTTCGGAACACAGGATTTCAAGATTTACCAAAAGAGAAATAAATAAATAAGAAATATAAGTTACTGGTCGAGATTTGATAACCTGAACCATCCCTTACCCTCTGCTTGAGCATGGCAATTGGTTCCTTATATGAAGCGGCTGAGACGTCGCTGAACAGCCGTGGGAAACTCCCAACAACGAAGGGATTTCATTCGCACCCGATTCCGAATCTGAAGGGTTGTACGGCATGATAAAAGCGCAAGGCAACCTCGGTGGAAAATATCCTGATCTGTGGAAGGTTTGCACATCCGCCTTAAACATTGACTGTAATGTGCCCAGAACTTCTTTTCTCTGGCAGTAGTTTTCAAGGTTAGGAAATGATCAGATATGATATCTTCAGTGGTCTATCCACATATATATAAGGGGCATTTGAGGAATGGTCAAGAGACAGCAAGAATAGCACCAGAGGGAAAGGTGCAACGCGAATAGGTATCTTCCCATGTGTGGACTCCGTAGAATACCTGTGGTTATAGATATGAATAGATAGAGGAATGTTTTCGTAATCGTGTTTTACCGCCTTTGCTTGAGCTCGCGACGGAGGTTGTCATTCTTTGATGGTTCCAACAGAAGAAAGGGGGGGGTTTCAACCCGTCGTCGTATGCATGGCAACGTCACAATGTTTGTCAAGGGATTACAACCTGGGAGAGGGTTAACCCACCAAAGAGAAGCCCTCCACTAGGTAGAGAACTGAAGTTTAGCATATACAGGACTGTACATACATACATACATATATCACTGTAGCTGAGAAGAGATCGTCGTGAGCTGACGAACCAGATGGAGAAGCAAATGGTAAACCACCAATGGTTAGAACGAATTGAGTTAGGTGATGTAACTATTGTCCTGCATGTCCTAGCCAGCTGGCACTGGACTCATTCTCACCCGGTAGTTACGGACAGAGTAACGCGCGATGTTGGCTGATCGATGTCCATTCCGATCCCTCGATGTATCGGAGAACTCCAGCGGCTGACTCAAGGCCCCAAATCCACGCGACCAAACCGCCAAAGCCTCACGCGAACCTCACTCCATCTCCTGGCAGGCGATGAGGCTTCTTTTTATACCTCCGCTTGCTCCGCTTTCTCCGTTTCTTCTTCTCTTCTTCTTTTACTATTTTTCTTCTCCTCATTCAACCCCTCCCCCTTCCACAAGGTGAGAAGACCAAGCAAGTTGTTGACGACGTCTCCTGCCCCGCTAACGGGCCTATCTCAACCTCCACCCCACCATACAACAATGGCGGTCACCACGTCCTCAGCAGCAGCTGCTACTAAGCAATGTGTATCGTTCTACCAGACATCCACCCTCCTTGTCCCCTTCCTACCGCCATAATCACCATAACCACCACAACCACCACCCCCAGCGGCGCAATGCTGGCCATGTCAACCGTAGTAATTTCGATGCTGCGCCGTTGGGGCTGACGCCCGATGAATCTCTTTCTCTTCAATCCCACTATCATCAGTCTTTACCGTCTTCTATTTCTGCATCTGCATCTACGGCTGCTTCCGTCCATGCTTCTATTCCGGCTGCAACTGCATCTTCTGCTAATTCTCCTGTATCTGCTTGCTCTTCGGGTTCTGTCCAGCAGCCCTCGTCAATCGCTTATCAACAGTACCACTATCATCATATAGACTTTACCCAGCTGAACGGAGGGAATGATCCCTTTCCTGACCACTATTTTCCCTCTCATTCTTTTACGGCTCCCTTGTCTGTAAGGGAATTTATTCCAACACAAACTGCCACTTCTGCCGCCACCACTACCGTTCCGGCATCTCCCTGGCTGGATTTTCTTGATGTCAGTCTTGATATCTTCGACCAGCATGACCACCCCCTGGACGCCTCCCTGCTTTCAACAGGGACCGGGTCGCAAAGTGAACAGGAGTGCATGTTGTCGAATCCGTTATCAGATGCAACTGCTCCCGTTGAAATTTCGGAATATGACCTAGTACACCCATATTCTGTAGGGGATGAGCTAGAAGTTGATGAATCGCTCTATTTAAACAATGTGCAAGGTGAGTTTATATATGTATATTGTTTTCCTTTGTTTATTTTCTTTCCAAAAAAAAAAAAAGAAAAGAAAAAAAAAGAAAGAAAGAAAGAAAGAAAGAAAGAAAGAAAGAAAGAAAAAGAAAAGAAAAGAAAAGAAAAATCAAGGTGGAAATTGGATGCTTATGAGACTGAATAGCTGTCTATTCATCCCCTAAATACCATATGTGAAACTATATAACACTGGAATTTTTCTCTAATATGTTACATTTCAGATTCCTTCGAGACACCCGCACTACCAAGCACGCTATATTCTCCGCCAGATTACCACCATTCGTCAAACAACCTGAAGAATGACTATATTCCCACCGCTCAAAGCATTATCAACCAGGACATCAACACACAATGCCATCAACTAACCTTCCCATCTCAAACCCAAGCCCCCACTTACCAACTTCAACCAAAGACATATTATTCTCCCCCGACCCTAAACTCAAGCACCTTTCCATCCCCTTCAAGTACTAGCACCCTTAATTCCGCATCTCCATCAACGCGAGCTGGCCGTCTTACCGCACAAGCAACCCGCTCCCCTGCTCCTAAAGCCGCAGCAACTGCAGCAGACCGTGCTGCGGACAAGCGTCGGCGCAACACCCTTGCCGCTCGCCGCTTCCGCCAAAAGCAGCAGGATCGTGTTGCAGAGCTGGAACGGACTCTGGAAAGGGTGTGTAAGGAAAGGGATGAGCTGAAGATGCAAGCTGCTCGGTGGAAAGGGGAGGCTGTTGCTCTGAGGGGCATGTTGCGGAAGAGGCGCTGAGGGCTTGATTATGACGTTCAAATATCTTGATAGCATTGATTTCGTCAAATTTTTCGTTTGCTCTGGGGTTCGGACTAATGGGAATAGAAAAGCTGAGTAGGTAAGGAGACTGCTGTGATATTAGGTTGTGAGTTGTGTCGAATGATTCTGGAACCGGCCTTTGTTTTGTGTTTTCCTTTTTTTCTCTCTCTTGCTGCAGTTCTGATTTATTAACAACAAAATTGATACAAGTTCGCTTCTGATGCCCTTTTCATTTATGTTATTCTTCTGATTCATTTCCCGCAACTCATTTCATTCTAACTTCCATACTCAATTCACTACCCTTCAGCCGCTCTTTTCAATCGACTCGAGGAGAGCGGGCAGAAGGAACAAGATGTTCTCCTACTCACCATTAGCGCTCTATCCTTCCCTCACCAAACGCACGCATAAAGCCATGTGCTAAAAGAAATCATCGCGTGCACAAAATAAGACGATGTCGGCAGTCCACATTCCCAAAGTGGGGCGTCTCTTCCTTGTCACCCTTTGAGTTGCCTCAACACTCGTTTTTTTTGATTGAGCTCGGCGGATGGAGGGAATGTTTCGTCATCATTTTCAATCTCAATTCGATTCTAGCTCCGTGTATCACGGGTAGAGTAGGTTATTTAGTCTCCTTAAAGGTAAGGAGTCCAAGGAGGAGGGAGGAAACATGGGGAGTGGGGATGGAAATTGGAGCTGGAAAAGAAAGGAAAAAGGGAACAGAGTCGGAGACAACTTAACTGACAATTGCCTCGTCATGTTCTTCCGTCCCAATTGGTTAGGGAGACTGAAGGCAAGATATGTCCCCTCCTCAGCCGAGGACCATACCGGAGTTCTGAGGTTTGTAGGCACGCTGCCTTGCTCCTTTACTACAATCCATGTACGCAGCATAATTCTCCAGCGTCGAGACGACGGCTTCTTTATACACGGGTGGATAGATTTATCCTTTACCATTGCGTCTATGCTTATAGACCGGTCTAATCTTGTGAAAATATTACTAATTACTGCCTCTATGTCTACTAAACGGCAATGGGCCCCCATACAAAACCTCCCCTGAGGATGCGCTATTGTTTGTACATAGCAGGTAATGTGTGCTAATATTTTATACGGAGTGATGCACGTATGCATAATAATTCTTTGCTTGTGATCGGTGGCACATTAACCATGCAGAATGAGTCATAATGAACAATCCTGATAAACGGCGCCTAAATAATCGGTGTCGGGTCTTGCGGGGCTTAAGAGGAATTTGGAAAACTGTTTTTTTACTATAATTATAAATGTTTACTCTCACAATCATTACGGAAGATGACATTAGAAGAATGTGTGGGATATATTTACTCTGTACGGAGAAGACGGCAGACATCAAATCGACCACCCCACCTGAATGAGAGTCGGACCATGCCATTTGACATACAATATCCCTTCTTAAATTATGACAGAATATAAAAATACGTTGCAATCCCGCATGAGCATATGCGTCTATCCCCATCATCCCTATCGATTTGGCGATATTCCCCTTCGTGTGGCACTGCGAAATGCCGTTGATAAAACCGGGTAACACAGACGAAAACACGTTGTTCCACTCGCAAAAGATGCGCTGTGTCTCCCTAAATTTTGGTTCCCGGAGTTAAAAAAATTCAATGTGTGAGTGTACACACATACATACATAATACCCATCCTTCCCCATTATCATCCACCATCCACCAAGAGAAGAGGAACCTCCGACGAGCCTACTTCGGGATGGATACGCAGGGATCCATGAATCCATGCAGTCCCGACTCCCTCCGATGCGCTACGTATTGAAAAGGGAAAGGCAAGGCAGCAGAGCTGAGAGGAAAGATGCAAAGATGCGGTGAGGGGAGCGGAGATCTTCACCATCCCTTCGGCTCTGGAGGATCCGTTGATATATTTTTCGTTTAACCGAAATTCTAGAGGGGTTGCGACTGTATCCCTCAGCTACGTTTACACAGAGTTACTCCGTTATGATATCGTGAAACTTGCTATCCATCTTGTTCATGGCATGGATGTCTGCCGCAGCGTACATACAGCGCACGTTGGGCGGTTAATTTGTTCTCAAGCGGGATTTGTGCCGTGCCCCTGATAAGGTAACTATTAGTTATAAGCTGGACGCGGCATGAGAGACCAAAGTAAGAAACAATTTGCGACGGGAAAAAACAAAATCATCTTGTTCCTGACCCATAACCTTCCATGGATGTCCCTTTCGTGGCTCAGGATGAAAGGGATGAAAGCCAGCTGTAGTTACTCCGTACGTGGTGCGCAATTACAGTAAATGGCATATTGAGCTACTTTATCTTCACCATGCTTGGACTTGAATATGACAATGACATATAATCCATTGGTAGATCCTTATATTCCAAAGGTTTCATCGTGGCGAGGCGGGCCAATAATGTGAGAACGGCCGGTTGCGCCTCAGCTCAAGAACTAATGGCAAGTTAATCTAGCCTATATCGTCCCCATGGATGAAGCCTGGTTCCCACGTCTGGGATACCATCTCCGTGCCTGCTAAGAAGGCTGCTATGAAAAACTGTGAATTATCAAGTTAGCTGAAAAAGTCACTCAGAATCTTGCATCAATTCTCATCTTGGTGAGGTTAAACCAACTCTTTCAGTGAAGCGGTGAGTTGAGATTTGAGGTGCTGTTCAACTCATTATAGAGTTTGATCATGTTGGTAACTATATAGGATGCAACAAGATTATTTCGGTGTATATTTGAGTGCAAGTCGGAATGCTGGTAGCCTCTCCGGAGTTCATACATGCATGGTTGCATCTGCATGGGATGATGCTTCATGGTTATTTCTTCGTGCCGGATTACTTTTAACTTGTGCCGAGAATGTAGATCTTGTTAAAAGCCTCTTGGTTTCCCGGTGTAGTTTCCATGGATTGGCTGAAGCCTGGACAATATCATAATTGGTATTGCAGTTCAATGGCTGGCTATTTTAAAGATCGTCAGGGTGGAAGACTTCTCTCCTAACCTCTTCTCCTGCTTTTCTTTATTCTTGAATTCTAGAGGAGAGTGGCTCCATCATTGCCGTGATTGTTGAGATTTGGATTCAAATTGAGTGGGCACCCTGCCATGGCTATCAGATTGGTGGAGACTTTGCACCTTGTATTGTTATTGTTCGGGTTGATACAGTTGGCTGTTGCAAGCGCAAGGTTGACTGATGACTCTTTCGCTGGTACATGGAGTGGACGTGGTCTGGGAGTATATCATCTCTTTTTTTCTTGTCACATATTTCACATAGATGGCTCATATCCCAAGCTTCCATTGGCACATATTTGGTCACAGATCATGACAAAAATAGTCCAATTCTGCTGCATACAAACCTATATCACTCTCTGACCCAACCCAATCACACTAACTAATGCAATCTTTTAGAAGAGGAATGTCCTCACAGGGCGCTCCATCGCCGCGGACCCCAAAGGCCTCTACAAACCCCACAAAACCAAAGTCCCCATAGATCACTTCCCCTACGATTCACGCTATGAACCACACACAGACGAGAAGTTCGACTTGCGCTATTGGTTCGACGCCAGCCATTACAAAGAGGGCGGTCCCATAATCGTCCTTCACAGCGGCGAGACGAGCGGCGTCAACCGTCTGCCCTTCCTGCAGAAGGGCATCATGAAAATTCTCTCCGAGACAACCAATGGCCTGGGAGTCATTCTTTAACATCGCTATTATGGTGAGAGCTTCCCGACCGCGAACCTATCGACGGAGAACCTGAGGTTCTTGACGACTGAGCAGGCGATGGCGGATTCGGCATATTTTGCGCAGGAGGTTGTGTTTGAAGGGTTTGAAGGGGTGGATTTGACGGCGAAGGGGGGAAAGGCGCCGTGGATTATTTATGGGGGTTCGTATGCTGGGGCTCAGGTGGTAGGTTCTTGTTTCCTCTTGCATTTTCTTACCATTGCAAAAAGAGATTAAAAGGATTAAGAATGATAATAAGGGTTTGAAAGAAAAAAGAATAAAGAATAAAGAGTGTGGGATGGGGGATGGGGGAGGGGGGAGGGGGGAGGGGGGATAAGAAAAGACCGGAGGGGAAGAAGCGAAAGGAATCGAATCGAGTCTGCCTTCTTAACCAGCAACGGCTCACCCCTGTTTATAGGCTTTCCTCCGTGTCTCATACCCGGATATCTTCTGGGGCGCCATCTCATCTTCCGGAGTGCCTAAAGCCATCTATGACTTTTGGGAATACTTCGAAGCCGTCCGCAGATATGGCCCACCAGAGTGTATTTCCACAACACAGAAATTTGTGGACATCGTCGACAGAATCGTAATGGGTCAACACAACGCAAAGATTATAGAAAGATTGAAATCATTTTTTAATCTGGGAAATCTGACACACATAGATGATTTTGTATATGTCCTCTCATTTGGGATAACCTATTGGCAGGAGCGCAATTGGGACCCGAAAGTTTCGTTGCCAAATTTTGACTTCTACTGCGGCAACATCACCGTGGATGAGTTGTTGTATAAGAATGGAAATTTGAGAGGGGAGGCGCAGGCGCTCCTTGCTGCGGCAGGTTATTTTGCCCAAACGAATGCGCTCACGAACCGGCTGCTTAACTTTGCTGGGTTTGTTAATGTGGATCAGGTAGTTGGTTGTAAATCGCATAATCAGACGCTGGATGAATGCCTTGGGCAGCATGAGCGGCCATGGTTTAAAGATGTTGATCTTTCTCAAGCGGACAATAGGTGCTGGCCCTATCAGGTTTGCACGGAGTAAGTGAAGCCCCCTCCCATTGAACCACCGCCACCACTCCTTGTTGTTTCAGTTTCCATATCCAGTGTGGGAATAGATTCGATGCCTTGAAGGATTTCGCTGATTTCTGCGCCCAAAATGCCGACTAACCCTCTTGATATTAATTTTCTCTTTCTTTTCTTTTTCTTAGATGGGGGTACCTCCAAGTCGGCAGCACAGTCCCCAGAGACCGAATGCCCATGGTTTCGCGTATGATCGACCTCGAGTACGCCAGCATCATGTGTCGGGAAGCCTTTGGCATCTACAAGCCGCCGGAAATTGAGCGGATCAACAAATACGGCGGGTTCGACATTGAATATGAGCGGCTGGCTTTCATCGACGGAGAAGCCGACGCCTGGCGTGCAGCGTCACCTCATGCGGATGCTGTGAGACCACGAGAAAACACCATTGATAAACCGTTTATTTTGATTGAGGGGGGAGGGCATCACTGTGAGATTCTTTTCCTTTTACCTTTTTTTTTTCCTTCGTCTTTAGATTTAGAGCTTTGGTCTTTGTTTCGTGTAAATAGCTGATTTAGAAATTCTTGTTAAATTTTGTAGGGGATGAGAATGGTTTGTTTCCAAATGAAACAACGCCAGATCTTCCGCCTCGACCGGTGGCAGATGCGCAGGCTCAGGAAGTTGAGTTTGTGAAGAAATGGGTAGAGGGTAAGTTGATCCTCCAATTTTAAGATATCTCTCCCTTCATTATAAGATATTCCAGCTGACATGGTGTATTTCTTGCCGTTCTGTTTAGACTGGCACTTTAGCCGGAGAAAAGACTAGCCCCGTTAAAGCTCCAGGATGGGTCATGAATGAGTGAATGTTTCTTGTCAGGATACATCGAATGATAAAATCTATTAATAAATCAATCATCTAATGACGTCCCATGTCCACGGGGATGGTACTATGTTCCGGGATATGTCTCTGCAAAAGTACATTCCTGTCTGAAGCGTAAGCAGCAGCCGAGGAGGCGATGTACGAAGTATATGTAGTTAATGATCAGTTGGAAATCACGGGTGAACGTTTAATGACCCTGAAAGGCGTCGTAGACAGTAATGAGAGCAAACAGACTCCCAACAGGCAGCATGTGTTGAGAGACTATTCGATGGATGAGTCTCATCTCTTCCCAGCCAACACGGAGGGCCGGGGGGGGGGATCCGGATGAAATAAAATCATCCTCTTATTGGCCGGGGCGCAGTTGGCCTGGCTTCCCCCATGAAAAAGCCCTACATTGAAAACGAGCACAGTCCAACTCAACCCTCCCTCAAATCTTCAATCCGCTTGGCCCAACTGGATCAGAGCAACATCATAAGACGGACGCTGATGCTGGAGGAGATTGTATAGTAGTAGTATATTGAGGATCAGCTTTGTCTTTTTGTCCCGGAGAAAAGGGAGAAAGCCCTCAACGGCCCTGAACCTCGAACAGGAAAATAGCCAATTGCTTCGATGTATTCCCGCACGGGACTGCGTGGGGGCCGTAAGGGGGGGTCCAACCACTGAGCAGCTGCAGGTCCAGGACATTCAAGAATAAAGAAGGGTAAAATAGAAGAAATGAGGCGGCCAGAAGAAAGATCCGTGGTTCGCCGGCTGTGGACGTCTGTTGCGCTTGGCATCAAATGAGATCCATCGGAAAACAGCGTATCCAAGATCACTCTAATCTAGATAGTGTTTCTCAGTAACTGGTTATCGTGGGATTGTTGGCAATGGGAGGGACAATGATATAACAGTGCATGGGCAGTGTGCAACAGTGGTAAAAAATATCTTGCTCATGAATGGCTGGCCTACAGTTAAATTAAATATTTGCTGTGGAGTTCTTTCCTGGGTCTGGCCGAGGATGGGCAGACTCGACTTTGACAGCAAATATTTAGACTCATCCCCTCGTTTATTATGTATTGATTTCTAGTTCCCGGTCTTTCGATGCTTTTCCTCTCCTCCCAAGATTACATCCAGCAGAGACAAAATCGTCACATTGTACTGGCATTCATTCTGGCTGATAGCGTTTGTTTGTTCAACGTATGTATTGCCTTGCACACTCTGGTTTTTTAACTTCGTACCGTCTACCAAACAACCCAGCAAAGCCGAAGCTCGTCTAACGAAACAGAGGAACCACCCTCACATATTTATATTTAACCGGCCAAGTGCACGCGTAGCCCTGGCTCATTCACTCGGTCCCAGTAGCATCGAGCTGGTCGAATTCAACCACACCTCCTCCACCCAACACTCTGTTGCCTCTGCCGGTTTAACATCCCCACCACGCAACCAACACGCTGACGGGCGCCGCCCTGCCGAGAAGGACGAAACATTAGGAACAGAGACAGCTGCTCCTCTGATAAAGTGGTGGGAGGACGTCCAGGGTTATTTTGCCCGGTTTAGCGGGGCTGACCATCGGAGGAATCCAGGGAGGACATCGGCATTGTCTTCTTTAGTGTTGTCCGGGAGCTTTGTACATAGATGGGAAGCAGAGGAAGACGCTGAAGAAGCAGGGCATTTTGAGGAGGAGGGAGCTCCTAGGGATCGGAATCAGAATAGGAAGAGCAATACTAAACGACGACCTCGCTGGGAGACCCTACCAATTGACAACGACATCATGAAATTCTCGCATAGTATCCAGTTCAATGCCGTGCCGGATTGGAGCAGCCATTATATTGCCTACAGCAATCTCAAAAAATTGTGAGTTATTTTTTTTTGCTTTTGTCCCTATCCTTTCCCGATTTGCATTTCTATTCTATTCGTCTAGGATCGTATTGTTTCCACAATCATGGATATTGGAGCTTGTTTTATATATATATAATTTATTGAAGTGCTAACGCATTTTTCTTCCCTGTCTGTACTCAGGATATACTCCCTTGAAAAGCAAGTCAATCGGGTTGACGAAGCTGGCCAAAATGTTGAGTCTGCGCCCCTTCTCGACTCCTCCCTCGACACTGATACCGTATTCCGCCGTGCCCTTGATGGGGAGTTAGAAAAGATATGTACTTTCTACCGTCAAACTGAAACGGAGCTCTACACGGAGGTTGAGAACGTCATCAAGGATGAGCAGTCGTTCATTGAAGAAACGAAAGGGTTGGATATGGATTCCGTTGAAGACACCATGGTCCGAACCCGAAAGCTTAGCACCGGTGGTTGGGTTCGTCATGAAAGCATTTTCCGCAGTTTTGGTTTTGGTGGAGGTGAAGGTGGAGGCGAGGGTGGTGGTGGTGGCGGGCAACGCAGGGATGCCCGTGCTAGCACCCACAGCGTGTCTGCGGATGGTGACGATGCGCCTAATAACGACGATGTTTCAAGTGACGATGATGTTGATATTGATGAACCCCGGGGTCGAGATGGTCGCCGTCGCTCCAGTTGGAAGAACTATCACAAATATTATCGCGAACCATTCCACTGCACCGCGAGCGATAATGGCGAATCGAGGATCTTGTCCGGTGGCCTGGACCATGACCATGATTTCCTCTTCGATTCTAACTACTCTGCCTTGTATCATACTGGCATCACGCTGAAGAAGCGTATCATCAGCGTGTATGTCTCCCTCTGCGACCTCAAATCATTCATCCAACTCAATCGAACGGGCTTCTCCAAGGCCTTGAAGAAATATGATAAAACCCTTGACCGCAGTCTGAGGCGTTCGTACATGAGCACTACTGTCTCCACTGCCTACCCGTTTACAAATCCCATTATGGAGACGCTTAATGACAACGTTGCTAAGATCGAGAAGATTTATGCGGATCTCGTCACCAAGGGTGATCTTGCGCTTTCTAAGCGGGAATTGCGTTTACATCTCAGAGAACATGTTGTGTGGGAACGGAATACTGTTTGGCGGGAAATGATTGGGATCGAACGCAAAGCACAGGCTGCGAATATGGGCGTGCGACGTATGCTGCTTGCCGGAGATCAGGATCCCCTGACTGCACAGAGACAAGGCGATGAGCAGGAACCCACCACGAAGGAGATTGTCACACCAGTTGGCAAATGTCCTGTGCCGGCGTGGTTACTCAGTTCCACGTTTTTCATGTTGGTGGCCATCGTGATTGTCTTTGGTGTCATGCTGACTGTCCCGATTATGAAGACGCCGGAACAGCAGAATTGTCTTGCCATGTTAGTTTTTGTCAGTTTATTGTGGTCTACTGAGGTAAGTTGTAGCACGGAGCCTATCTCGTTCATCAATGATGCTGGATGTGGACTCATATTGATAATATATGATACATACAGGTAATCCCGCTTTTCGTTACATCACTTCTTGTCCCTTTTCTGGTGGTCATTCTCCGTATCATGCGGTCTGAAGAAGAGCCTTATTACCGCCTAAACTCTAAGGAGGCCACTGGAGTTGCTTTCGCGGCAATGTGGACACCAGTCATTATGCTTCTACTTGGTGGATTTACCCTGGCAGCTGCGTTGTCGAAATATGACATAGCCCGCAGAATGGCAACGTTCGTCCTGAGTAAAGCCGGGACGAAACCGCGGATCGTTCTCCTCACGAACATGTTTGTCGGCATGATATTGAGCATGTTCATTAGCAATGTCGCTGCTCCTGTGTTGTGCTTCTCTATCATCCAGGTTAGTACCTTTCTGCCTTCTCCGTCTGCAAACAACCTATTCCGTCCAACTGACATCAAAATCAGCCAATGCTCCGAAATCTCCCCACAGACTCCCGTTTCTCCAAAGCCCTCATCCTTGGCATCGCTCTGGCCTCCAACATCGGTGGCGCGGCCTCCCCTATCGCCTCCCCGCAAAACATAATAGCCATCCATAACATGAGTCCCGCCATAAGTTGGGGGACATGGTTCTTCATCTCCCTCCCAGTCTGCATCATCTGCATAATTCTGATCTGGTTCCTCCTCCTCGTCACCTTCCGCCCAGGCCGTGGCACCATCATCGTCCCCATCCGCCCCGTCAAAGACAAATTTTCCGGCATGCAATGGTTCGTTACCCTTGTAACCGTCTTCACCATAGCCCTATGGTGCGTCAGCCACCAGCTCGAAGCCACCTTCGGCGACATGGGCGTCATCGCCATCATCCCGCTCATCCTCTTCTTCGGCACAGGTGTCCTTACTAAGGAAGATTTTAACAACTTCCTATGGACCATCATCATTCTGGCGTCGGGAGGTCTCTGCTTGGGCCGCGCTGTCACTTCTTCCGGTCTCCTGCACACCATTGCGAAGGCTATTACGGAGCGTGTAGCTGATTTCAGTCTATATGGCGTCCTGATCACATTCACTGCACTCATCCTTGTCGTGGCCACTTTTATCTCTCACACAGTTGCTGCGCTGATTATGCTCCCACTAGTCCAGCAGGTTGGCGCAGGCATGGATCATCCACATCCCAATCTGTTGATTATGGGCAGTGCGCTCATGTGTTCGTTTGCCATGGGCCTGCCGACGAGCGGGTTTCCTAATATGAGTAAGCTAGGCACTTTCCTTTCATCTCCTCTCTCCTCTTTGTGTTTTTTCAGTCCATGCATATCCCACTTAATAGTGAAAGTTGGTCCTCATTACTAACCCATCCTTCTCTAGCTGCCATCATGATGGAAGTCCCTGAAACCGGCCAGCGATACCTGCGCGTCCGTCACTTCATAACCCGTGGCGTACCCGCGAGTGTCATGTCGTTTGGCGTACTGATTACGCTTGGATATGGGTTGATGATTGTTGCAGGTTTATAGATTGCTTTGCCCTTTGAAAGATTTCTTATGGTCACTAGCATATCCTTTCCACCCTCTATTCAACTGCGTGGCTCAGTGTGGACCAGTTTATATTTTACACTTTTGTATTTCTTGTATTGCCGTAGGATCATCCTGTAATCCGGAAGGGTTTTTGAAGTCCCTTTACACTTAAATATGTAAAGGTTGGATTGAATTTGGGTGTATTGAATGGCAGAAATTCTCATGGTACTTCGGATGGTGTGTTTTGTTTTTCACTTATCCACACCGTTATCCGATCTTTATTATTTTTATCTGTCGTATTATTTCTGTTGCTGGTGGGTGAGTGTATACCACCTCTCTCCTCTTCCCAAGGTATAGTTTCGTTGTGTTTCGATGCTTCTTGCACTTTATAATTGTGAGGCAGCACTAAGAAAATCCTAGTTCGATAAATTGAATCTGCGAGCAGAGAATTCTTGGAAAGAGTTTCATTTTTGACTGATGACTGTTGATTTGACCGATCAAGTCATCAAAGATATCAGAACAGTTGATAAGTTACTGAAAGTGAGACCACCCAAAGATCAATTATCATTGTCCTTCAAATGAGAAGATCAGGTGCAAAACCTTTCTGTTTTTGGCATGATTCCACCAGAGTAGCTCCATGAGACCAAGGCTTTAACCTTCTCATCACCATGTCATCACTATACCTCTCTAGCCCAACGGGTCAGCTTTCGAGACACTCTTCATGTCCATGGGATTGGGGAGTGGTCACCAATGTGATTGAACATAAGTCACTCATCTATGAATCTGAGCAATGCTAACTTCTATAGCAAATGAATCTGGAGAGACACGTGGTCAGATGCTTGACCATTAAAATCCGGACATATATCTCAAATATCAATCAAGGGTCAAAGCTGTTGACATTCAGGCCGCCTTTTGAGACTTAGAGCCAAATCGCAGATGCCTTGATATGAAATGAAGCATGGCACTCCACAGAGATACCAATGCATCACAACAACTCAACTCTGCTACCATCACGGAATTGGAAAGGGACCTGGAAATGGTTGATATAAAGTTAAAAATTGCTGAGTTGACGAAAAGGATAGACAAACAACCGCAGGACCATGATGATCTAAATTGCCAGCGGGCGAAACTTTACAACAAGGCAGCAAAGAAGCACCGAGACAATCTCTTCACAGAGGCACCAATACACGGCAGGGCGTATTTGCAGGATTTGATTAATCTCTGCACCTCAGAGAAGGGGTTGTGTACTGCCCTGGAGAAGGCCCAGTGAATGGACAGTGTCCTGTGTGTCACATACAAATATCAAAGTTCGTTTCATAAACTACTTGTTGTTAGACGGTCGGAATACCGATCTTAATCTAGTAAACCCGTACAAGGCCGTTCGAAACATATCTTACGCAAGAAGTTTGCAGGAAGTTAGCAGACCCATCCTAGTTGGGATTAGCGGACACTTCGCAGTACCATGGGAAAATGTTTCTCCGCCTAGAGAATCACGTTTCGGGCTATATAGCCTGGTTGTCAATTTCAAGCATGGCATGCTCAATGCTTCTTCTGTTGATAGCTTGTCTGCCGTTGCTCACATTGCAATGCCTTGCTACAAAGAGCGCAAAGCTAGCCAAGGTGACTTGCTTCGTCAAAACCCTGAAGAATCTTCGCGGATTTTCCCTCACTCACAGAGCACGTGGCGTTCCTTGCTCTCCATCGGCCAGGCCACAAGTCATTTTCCTGATTCCTGCAGCAATATCAGAGCTCTTCTACACAAGACTCCTGCTATACCGGATAGTTCTAGTGTTACTGAAACGGTCAAGGATGGCCGCCTATTCTTAGAAGGCTGCTCACAGTGGAAGATCCGTTCGATGTCTGACTGCGAACTTACTTCGAAGTTGAAGAGGTCGTGCCCCCAGACAGTAATCATCGGGGAACTCCAACCAACATTCTGCAAGCTTTCAGATACATTTCTTCCGAGGCGGACTGGGCTCGACACCACGTCAGATGCTTTGCCAACGGGAAACTATCTTTGTGTGTTTGTTTTGGGGTTGGTCATTATGTCCTCTCTGCACGTCTCGTTGAACTACGCAAAGACATAAATGAAGCAGATAAATTATCCTACACCGACAATAAAGCTACCTTAAGGTCGATAGAATCACCTGCGCCTGAGCATGGATTTTTGATCCCTGTTGGTGATGCCGATGAGCGGGAGTTACAATGGTGGGCCGCAATCCTTGCGAAAGGGCGCGGATGGCGAGCAGCTTTGAACCGAAGCGATAGGGAGAACTCCTCTCCTTGGGCCTGCCACTTGAGTGATGACAGATCGCTCGCTATCCTGCATAATGGCCCAGAATTCACCCCGGCTTGCTCTCTTGAACCACCATCTTCCATGCGAGCTCAATGCTACCTTCTCCGCCTTGCTCAAATGCATGATGCAGTTGAGCACCTGATTGCTGCTTTTGCAGCTGCCCTCACACATACCAAGACACCAGAGATTTGGGGCCCCTGTCAATCTCCCTGAACCGCAACTAGGGACTGGGCCAAGTAGAAATATTGACTCGAGTTACAGGAGCAGGATTCCTTCTTTTGATGAGCTTCCATATTTCATGTCACTATCGTGCATACCGGGTTTGATTTCTTCCTCCCTTTTCGGCTCTTTTTGGGAGCCCGGAGTACCTTGCAATCTTGTTTGTTAGTAAATGGCTTTATACGCCATTTCAGGGCGTCCTACAGCGACTTATTGACCAAAAGGAGTGGCAGGTCATTGTGCGGATTATGGCTGCCCGGCGACCGAACTTGGCACCTCTCTGGCTGGGCTCAGCTGTAACCGGACTGCTACCCAGGATACCGAAAGTATGCACAAGTTCCATACCACCAGTTTCTCTTGAAGCAACCGTGTGGACAATGTCCCCACAATCATTTATGGATCCGACCTTCCATCGCAGGCCAAATGTCCGCAGGAATCTTTGCCTGGAGAAGGTGATACCCCGAGAAGACGAGTTTCGCCTCCTCTACATAACAGACTTCAACTCAGAAGATTTTGCGACTGTACCCCTGTGCCCCTATCCACCGTTTGGGGTTGCGAAACTCCAGGAGACTGCTCTTGAAGTGAGGCCACATGTTTCGTGCGGCCATAGTTTAGCCTACAGTCACTGGGTTTGGCAGCGCCAGCGAGTGGGAAGCAAGGGCCTAAAAGATCAAGGGTTTACACTGACTCTTCAACAATCGCGGGGTGGATGTTTGGCCCTGTTGCGACGGAATACTAAGTTATTACAACAAATCCGACAGAAATTGTCGAGACTTTGGATTCACCATTACATCAGCCACCGTCATGCATGGGATAAATCCTTGGATGAAGGGCTTTCCGACCTCGCTACTCGAAACCTTTTTCCAATGGGTGCTCTTCAATGATGGAGTAAAATCGAAAGACAAGAATATGTGGAATCATGAATGGCTGCAACTATTGCTCAACATTGGGGTTGAAGATACTGTGTCAAATGACAACAGCTCGTCGAGTTCATTGAAGCATAGGCGGAGTGCTCATGTATCTCGTTGGCTGCAGTCCAAGGACTGCAAGCCTGGCAATACTTCCACTCAAACTTTACAACCCTTTGCCTTGCACTTTTTGAAGGTATGTTGGGTATTCAAGCGGCTGCAGTTGTCACAGGAACCTTTTTCGACCAGGCGAGTGAGATCGCTAATCTAGTTGGCCAACAATCGATGCTGTTTTTGGCAATAAACTAATCATAGTTTTTGCCTATAGCTTCTCCGATCGAGAGACAAGTAGTCCCCAAAGTCGCTTGAAAAGTTCTTGTCAATTTCCAAAGGATTTCAAAGACAAGACTGGAGAAAGATTTACTTTAAATGTGCTCGCTATTCTGGAGCTATTTAAGTAGATGACGCCCCTGTCGCTTTTAAAAACCTCCAGCTCTGTTGGGACTGCGTAAACCCTAGTTATAAACTTATAGAGTCCTGACAATAAGAGGATCTCTTTTCCTGCTGCTTTTCTTTGCGTCTGAAATGCTCAGGGCAAAATCACTCCTATTGATTGTCCTGCTACCAATTCAGCAGCATGCATGTCTAAACGCCTCACTTTGAAAGCCAGCGTTAATTGGGGCCCAGCTTTTTTTTTTTTTTACCAGTGAGGAGACACACTCTTGTCCCAGACCTGGCAAAAATATCTCTGCAATGGCTTCTGAGAAGATTGAACAAATGTGGTTAGATGTTCAAGCTTGTGCACCTGCCACACTCGCCGGATTTGAACCTCATTGAGGAGCTCTTCGCGCTGAGTTGAAGGCCTTTATTAGGTGACATTGGTAGTTAATCAATTACGGACAATTCCGTCCAAGCATCAGAACGTTTATTGGAGGGGTGATGATACTGTTAGTTAGACTGAACACAACTAACTAATCCTGCAGGAACTAACCAGCCATCTAACATCATTGATACAAAAAAAAATAATTCCATTTGGGTGGCATACCCACGAGAAATCAGCATCGACCTCGCGCGACGGAAAAGCAGCATCAGCCACTAACTAACCCATCGCGGTGACACCCACATGAGTACTGGCCGCGCTCAAGCCACTCGCCGGCCGGTTAATAGTTGGGTGGATGACCATCAGCGAATCCCGGCTGACGTATGTTTTTTTATCCTCTTTTGGTGGTCCTTTAACTCCATTTTTACTTATTCATGTGGCGGATTCACTGTCCGTGGATTTAACTATTCTTGACCCAGTTGCGGCGGCTAGAGCAGTGTTTAGTTAGTTAGTTAGTTAGTTAATGGTTAACTATGACTAACTATAACCAGTTAACTAACTGGTTAACTGCCGGGGATGAGTTAGGAGCTTGATGCGCCTAATGGGCTCCAAGATTTTTTGGGGAAAGTCTGCTGCTAGTCTGCGGCTATCTGCGGCTGGTTCACCCCTTTTCTTCCATTTTCACATCTCAGCGCTGCATTCAAATCCATCTTCAACACCCCTTATTCTTTTATATTAATTCATTGCCCAGTTTCTCTAACTGAGCTGCACTTCGTCTCACTATGACTACCCATCCCTATACGATCGGGACTACGTTTCCCACGATTAAAGACGCCCGAGAGGCCCTTCTTCGATACACCGTTGAACAACACCTCTCTTTCAGAATTGTAAAATCTGACCTGACAAGATACTCTCTCGCATGTCGCTCTGGCTCCCCTGTACATTCCATCTATATTGTAACTACAGTCGGAAAAGGAAGCTTGTGACCAGGATTAGGTCTATAGACCTAATCCTGGTCACCTTGCGGTATGCAATATGCCATGTATTTTCCGATTCCTTTTCCCAAGTACAACAAGATTATACTAACAGAGTTTACTTGAACAGCAGGGTTTTGCGGATACTGAAGTTGTCGAAAGACTGTGGAAGGAACAGTTTGATTACGCTTACAGGGAATACAATACATTTATATTCCGACGTCTATACATCCACAGGTTAGCGGGAAGCCCCATGTTATTTTGATGCATGAGCTGTACGTATAATATAAGATATATTGTCTTATGACTCCGGTTTGCTTGATGGAAGAAGCTTCTAGAGATGTGATTACGAGTATTTAAACAGCGCTACTCACCTTTTGGTATTCAGCATTATCGAGAATGTAAATAAGCATGAGGGGGTAGAATGGATGACATTTGGAGGTATGTCAAAGGAATTCCGGCAAGGGAAATTTCCGGGCGTTGCAATTGAATGAGGGTTATAGCTTTGATGCTAAATGAAGGGTATCAAAGAACCGGTTGGATAAACGCACCATGGGGGCACAGATAAGTGGGCCAGATTATCCCTCATTTTTTTCTAAGAACCACTACTCTTCTGGCGCTGGTGAGTAATTCTTCACCCAGTATCTCCTATCTCTCTCAAAGGATTTCTTCATATTCTATCTTGCATATCGCATACCGCTGAGCGATATTAGTGTTGTTGATGGCTGGAAGGCAATCGAGGGTTACTTCCATTCCTACGGGTGGTGGTACTTGTACCTATTCATGCAACATATTTCCTCAATTTGAGAACAAGACCTTCTTGATTTAGAGCAGGGGCTGATTATCATTATTCTAAATCTAACAATCATTAATTGCGCCACGAAAAGAGCAGAGTTAAAAAAAATAAAATAAAATAAAATAAAATAAAAAAATCCATTCAGCCATCATATTTGAGCGCTATATGAACGAGGAAAATAGAGTAAGGAAAGGGTGAACATCTTGACTATGGAATACAGCGAAAGACAGATGAACATCTCATAAACGTGCTGATCATTAGGAAATGAACGGGAAATAAACGGGAGAGCACAAAACAACCGCCAATCCTGAACGACTCAGAAGATTCGGGGGAATACAGTTCACAATTTTTGGAATGCATACGAAAAATGTCGTGGGTGAAGGCGTACCCACAGCGGGCTCGACGGGACGACTGGTAGAAAACGTGAGTTCTTTATATCTTTGGGTGTGTATGCACATCATTCTAGTTAAGTCGAGACCAATGTTCCACTGGCCGTGGAAGCATCACGTTCCGACACGAGGTCGGGAGATCGTTTAATTCCTATGAGCTATCATTATTATGAGCTCCTTATCAAACGGATACAGTGTCCTGTTTCACGCGAATACACAAATACCACCCAACTTCAACGCGGGGAGGTGCGTTGTGTCAGGGGATGTTCAGGGGATGGTATACAACAGGAAGTCCAACAAAAGGGATGAATGACCCCCCACCCCCCCGGGGGGGGGGGGGGGGGGGTGGGTGTGCCGGCAATGAAGGAATATACGTACAGCAGTCCCAGCGTCAGATCACCGTGAATCTTCGCCTTGAGCTGAACCTCGATATCGAGATTCAAGTCCAGACGCAGCCGAAGTTGCTCGTCTTTCTCCTTCCCTCCTCCGCCGCTGACAGCGCCAACGGCTTTGCCGGCAGTGTTGCCCACAGCGTCCACCGCTTGGCCAGCGGTATTCTGAACGAGATCCTGAGAGCCTCCAACGGCATTGCCTACTTGGTTATTCATGTTAGACAGGGCGCCGCTTGATTGTCTAGGTCGGCGTCGTCTGCGCCCTCCGGCTGGCTCGAAATCGTCCTGGGGAATATCTTCAGGTTCGGGGTCTTGGAAACGTGGTCGTCGGCGACGGATTCGCTGCGGTCGGGGCTCTGGTGCTGGATCTGGCTGTTGGCCCTGGTCAACATCGGATTGTTGTTCTTCTGAGGGTTGTTGATCGCTTTGGTTTTCTTCCGTGTCTTGCTCGGGGTTATCTTGAGGCCGTTTTTGATCGTTGTTGTCCATGTTGGATGTTTTAGCTTATGTTTGATATTCGTGGGGTAAGACTGGGATTTAGTTTTTGGGTTGGGGATGATAGGGGAAAATATGTATCTTTGGAACGATTGCTTCGTTAAGGTCTTGGAGGTATAGAATTGGAGGGAGGATAACTAAGTTCGCAAACCGGCACGATCCCAATACACTATATATATAAAGCATGCCTTTTCACATTTGGTACATACAGACGGGTTCAACCTCCCATCTGTCGACGTCATTGGGCCTAGCCATATGTCAACATGATGGAAGGTTGTCATCAGAAATGATCTGGGATCCATGACACGAACTAACAAAACACAGTTCCAGCAAGCCCAAAGTCACATTGATCAGAACTGACAACTTGGAGCGGTAGTGGGTTGTCCAAACAAGATATATCCCGGCTGTGATAAAACGCTATAACTAGAAAACGTGGCGGCGCATGCGTCATATGGCTCACATTTACCAACTTAGACGCGGTACTTGTATACATGTATACTGAAAAATGGGCGAGGGAGTGTCTAATAATGGTGTACAGAGTATGAAAATCACAATGATAGAGCTGTCTGATAGTTGTTGGCTTCTACTCTCTCTGGCTAACTCGAGAAACGCCTGTAGATAAAGACCACGGTAGTAACCAGCTGCATTATTGACGTCTAGGCAATATGCATGAAACGTCATCTAGATAAATATTATCCATTTGGTCTGTGTGCGACGAATTCAAGTAGGTTTTGCATCTCATTCGATCATCCAATCCAGCTTTAAACAGTTGCCCTCCCTTTCTGCTCCCCTCAAGCGACAGCTAAAGAGATTCGGTGCGGCATCATTTCAGTCACAAATAGGGCATGGCCTGAATAAAACAAGGTCCCGAAGTTTGGTATTTTGATCAATTGTCTTTCCCACTTGTAACAAAGGAGTTGGTTGCTGAGGGTTCATTCCGGTGGGGCCCATCATGACTTGCCTCCTGTAGAACCGCACCGTTTTTTTTTTTTTATTTTTATTTTTGGAAAATAATAACCTTGTCTTGAATATTTCTAAGCGGGTGATGAATGAGGTGGGACTAATGACGAGGTCCGATGCGGAGTTTTAATCTGGGAGGGAGGGAGGGAGGGAGGGGAAGTGTCAGGCCAAGCGGGTAAAGTTAGAGAGTTAACTATTTATCTCTTGGATCGTCATTTTTTCTCAGGCTGTGATGTCATCAAAAGGGGTACATGTACTACTGTATGGGCAGCCTCAACGGATTCTGCCTGCCTCCTTGCCAGAGAGAGGGGCTGACTGCCTATGAAGAGTGGTCGGCGGTCGCTTTGATAATTGAGCCTTCAAAATTCCAAGTGTGGTTCTGGGTCCGGTTGGTCTTAAGGGCGAAGTCGGGGTCATCATCTATCATTTATAGGCCCTTTGATCTTGCAGATATCAAACGGCCAAAAGAGAAGAAATTATATATATATATATATATATATATTGTAATGTATGTAATGTACTGTACGTAATGTAAGCTACTTCTGTTAACTGTACTCAATGCATAACTTTATACCAGAAAACAAGAATTCTTCCCGAAAAGTAAAAGTAAGATGATATAGCGTTCGTGCTTCGCTGTGGTGCTGCAGAGTGTGATTTGTGGAGGTGACTTTGCACCGAAACAGCGTCGGCAGAAGGATGAATCATAGTGGCTGGGACGTGCAGATTGAATCCCCAGCTTGCTTTAAAAAGCGGATATATCAAACAAAGTTATGCTGGGGCGATGATGGTATTTTGCTCGTGGACCATATGGAAACCCGGTTCCACACTAGCGGATTCCCTGCAGCACCCTGTGCCTCAACGTCATCGTCGATGTTACAGCGATGACATGACGCGGCGAGAGGGTGCAGGAAGAGGTAGTAGTAGTCATATATGACCTATATCGAATGGTTGTTGGTTTTTGGCTGAATAGAACGGCCAATTCCATGTTCGTGGTGTCGTAGGCTTGCGGTTCTCCCGAGTCTTCTTTTTATATATCTCTTGTCTCTTTAAGAGGCGTCCTTTCCTTCCATACCCTAAAAACTTAAGACACATATACCACACTGCTTCTTATACCGCCCTTCTTCTGTCTTCTCGCACAAGCATAATCATCGAACGGGAGGTGCACACCCCCCAAATCAAGCACGATGAGTACAGCAACCCCAAAGGAAAACGCCCCGCAACCGCAGCGGCAGCCTCCAACGCCTCAATACAGCGAAGATGATGATTACGACTACGACTCCTTCTCCGACGACGACGGCTATTATGGAGAAGAAAACGTGGCCACAGGAAAGAACCAGCTTCAGCAGCAAACCCAGCAGCAAACCCAGCAGCAAACACAACAACCACCGCAACAACAACAACAACAACACCAGCGAAAAAGACCCATGAAAACCTCCTCCAAACACTCAGCGGACACGGCGATGCAGCCGTTTGAATACATCGGACCCCCAGAGACGTCCATGGACGGGCCTGTCACCTATGCCCGTGCCCAACGGGGAGAGATTCCCATGCGGCCTGGAAACCCGAACCAGAGGCTCAAGACTGCCGAGAAGCCGAAGGAGGAGGAACAGGATGGCCTGAGATTGAAGCTGGAGATCAACTTGGATGTAGAGGTGGAATTGAAGGCGGTCATACATGGCGACTTGACCTTGGCTCTCTTGTAAGTGGAATCCTATGTCGTTAGTAGTTGTGTATTTGGATGTTCCCATTTCCGATTTCCCCTTTCTTCTTCCCCTTTCTTCCCCTTTCTTCCCCTTACCCTTGCCCTTCCCTTTTCCGCCTTCGTTATAAACAGAAACTCGTTGAATCAATACGTTTGAAGAGTTGCTGAGCCTTGCGTTAATCCTTAAGATCCTGATTATTACGCAGTGCATAGAGCCTAAATGGCTCCACCAGTTCACTTTTCTTTTCGTCTGTCTTTCTGAGCACCACCACGTCTGGAATTTGTGAGTTTGTGTTGTTGTGTTTCGGTGGTGGATATTCTGGCGTTGTTTGGGGTCGATCGATTCTCTTCAGCTGGTGGAATTCAGGTTTCGTAATGGGACTTTGAGGAGATGGATAAACACCACCTTGGGTCAATCCACCATGATATTCACGAGGAAACATCGGAGGGTTTTTTTTTATATTTTGTCTCCTGTTTTCCCTTCTGCTTTCTTTTCTTTCTTCTGTTGTGTTAGTAGCATCTCTGTTTATTTACTCTCGCATATCCATATCCCATCCATGTCTTTGTATTTGTAACGCCTACTGTCTTTCCTGCAAAATTGTTTCAACCGTCTTTTGAAAAGCTTCTCCACCGTGAAGCCCGAGAAATTATCCATGTGGAATCTCCTGTGCCTGTGTTTCCATACTGTCATATTAGGGAGTAAACTAGAATTCGTATAGTTTCAATTCCATTTCCCGCAGATTGCCCTTGACATGTATCATTTGATATTGCAACGGCAATGCTGAAACGACATAAATATAATCATAATAGGGATTCCAACTCGACCAGAGGTGGGACATCTCTTCTTCTTCTTCTTCTTCTTCTTCTTCTTCTTCTTCTTCTTCTTCTTCTTCTTCTTCTTCTTAACAAAACGTTCCTGATGAATAAGCGAATGCCAAGACTTCTTCTCCTGCCACTGAGTGTGACTTGGCACGCTAGTCCCATCAGGGCTAGCCCCGCCCATTAGGGCATGGCCTTTTCGACAAGCGAGAGTCTGGGCACTGTGCGAAATTCATCCTCGACGGAACGAACGACGAGACGGCGAACGACAACGACAACGACAACGACGACAACAACGACAACAACAACAACAACAACAACAACGACAACAACGACACGCTTCTCCCTGCACCCAACTCTCCACCGCCGACCACCCCGTGACATTTTCGGTCAAGGAGTACACGGTACGAGGTGAGTATCTGCCCTTTTTGCTGTTCTATGTTGCTGTGTCTTCGAGCAATCCAGTTTCGTTCCCTTTTTTTTGGCCAGGAAAAGCGTTCCTTTCTCACTCCCCTCTCCCACGTTCAACGATTGTGTGCGCTGTGCGTTACCAGTAACTACCCAGCAGCAACCTCACCATTACCATTTTTTTAAAAAATTTTTATTGCGGGGAATCTATAATTTTTGCTCTCGGTTTTTTGATCAACCCGGGGAACTGACGATCTTGGGGGGGGGTTCCTATCTGTAGTGCCGTCCATCAGCCGCAATCATGGGTATCTCACGAGATTCCCGTCACAAGCGTTCGGCCACCGGTGCGAAAAGAGCTCATTATCGCAAGAAGAGGTATGGCGATAATGCTGAAAATCGTCCCTCCATCTATCTTTGTACCTAGTTTCTCACAGTTCGCAACTTTTGCACAGAGCCTTCGAGAAGGGTCGCCAACCAGCCAACACCCGTATTGGACCCAAGAGAATCCATCTCGTTCGTACCCGTGGCGGCAACCAGAAATTCCGTGCCCTCCGTCTCGAATCCGGTAACTTCTCCTGGGGCTCTGAGGGAATCTCCCGCAAAGTCCGTGTGATCGTTGTCTCCTACCATCCCTCAAACAACGAACTCGTCCGCACCAACACCCTCACCAAATCCGCCGTTGTCCAAGTTGACGCTGCCCCATTCCGACAATGGTACGAGGCCCATTACGGCCAGACCCTTGGCCGAAGACGCCAGCAAAAGCTCGGCACGGAAAACACCGAGGAGAAGAAGAGCAAGAGCGTTGAGAAGAAGCAGGCTGTGAGATTTGCCGCCCAAGGAAAGGTTGACCCAGCTCTTGAGAAGCAATTCGAGGCCGGTCGGCTGTATGCCGTGATTTCCTCGCGGCCGGGCCAGAGTGGTCGTGTTGACGGATATATCCTGGAAGGGGAGGAGCTGGCGTTCTACCAGCGTGCGATCAGGAAGTAGAGCGGGCCTGGGTGCAAGGGGAGGGTGCGGCTGTGATGATGATTGATGGGTCTGATTGGAGTTCAGCAAATTTTTTCAAGAAACAAAATTATGTGATAACTGATGCAGCGCTCTGTTAAAACGGAGGCCCTGTAGAGCTCTGAACTTTTTTTTTTATTTTACCCTATCGGAATGGAATTTTATCCTTTTTTTTTTTATTAATTCGTGATGTTTTGTTTTGGTTTTTTTTTTTTTTTTTTTTTTTTTTTTTTTTTTTTTTTTCCTCTTCTTCTTCTTTCTTTTGGGCATGTTTTCATCCATTTATTCAGCTTGAACGGACTTGAAATTCTGCCCTTGTTACCTCGATGAACATGAAGAACTGTCGCCATAAATTCCATCCACTTAGAAACCCCCGTAAGGAGTTGGCTCATATTAGTTGATGCTCCCTCTTGGCACAAAGTCATGTATAATAAACTACTGTCTCCGCTAAGATAATTTATCGATCACCTTCGCTAAGCTTGCATGTCCAACCCCTTTGACACGTCTTTTTTCATTTTCCCGGTTTCTTCCCAGGGTTTAGGTTGATAAAGCACCCTCTAGACCCGCCCCCAAACGACTGTTTAACAAACGTCGCTCATAGACGGAACACGAGAAAAAGGCCCCCCCCCCTTACCCCGCAAGGCATGGCGGCGACCAGCTCCTCAGGTGAGGTGAAAACCCGCTTCTGTCTCATATCCGATACGCATACATACACGCCCTTACCACCGGACAATTGGTCTCCATTCCGACACCCCTTCCCCGCCGCAGACGTTCTCCTCCACGCTGGCGACCTCACCATGGTCGGGAAAGAGAACGAGCACCGTGCGACCATAGGCATGCTAAAGAGCGCGGAGGCAGAGCTGAAAATCGTCATTGCGGGAAACCATGACATCACCCTTGACGAAGACTACTATAACAGCTTCGGCCACCGGCGACACCAGGCTCGGGAAGACCTGGTGAAAATTCGCGACATGTACTGCGGCGAGGAGGCCCGGCGGCATGGGATTGTCTACATGGATGAAGGGGTGAGGACGTTCAGGTTGAAAAACGGTGCTCAGTTCACCGTCTACGCCTCGCCGTATCAGCCGGAGTTCTGCCGGTGGGCGTTTGCGTACAAACGGCCCCAGGACCGATTCAACCCGCCGCAAGAAGGCACGCAGTTCGTCGCGCAAAATCCTATCCCGGACTTCCCTGCTGTGGATGTCATGTTGACCCATGGCCCGCCCAGGGGCGTTATGGATGAGACGATTAGCTGCGAGGCGGTCGGCTGCGACCATCTTCGACGGGCGGTCACCCGCGCCAAACCGCGATTGCACTGTTTTGGACACATCCATGAAGGCTATGGAGCACAGCGGATGGAGTGGGCGGGCGAGAAGGCGACGGATATAAAGCTGGATCAGACAACGGTGCTGAGGGATCGGGCTTCGTATATTAATGTCAGTCGTGATGGGGACAGTCCGTTGAGGGTTGGAGAGGAGACTTTGTTTGTCAATGCCAGTATTGTCACTGTTCAATATGACCCGGTCCATGCTCCGTGGGTTATTGATATTGATCTGCCCTGTTCAACGGAGGCATGAGGCGGAGGCGTGGATGACTATATGCCCCCAATAAATGTGCCTTCTTAGGTTCTTGGTATATCTATGATCCTGTGCTAATCGGGATCCCGACAGGAGGAGGAGGGACCTGTCAGGTTGGCGGCACTTCACCCGTTGACGTATGTGGCAAAGGTGTGTGTTATATGCAAGTAGTTGCCTATGCAGCTGACAAGAAATGAAGATGCCCGGTTTTTTTCCCCCTTAGAGTGCCTGGTATGCATGCTCCTTTGAGAAACCGGAGATGCCGACGAAATTTTCTAGGTATTCCGCAGTCATTGTATTGACCGGCGTAAATATATATGTTTACATGGTCAATGTCGGGCCGTGCTATCCTACCTCTTGCCTCCAGCCCCCTCTTCTCTCTCCATATCTCTACCCGTATATGGCACATACGCCGTTGTATATCCTCTCTCCAACAATTCTCGGTTCCGGAATTACCCACCTTTTGCATCTCCCAAGGCTCATACATACACACACACACACACACACACACACACACACACAACCATACAATTTTGTGTCCCTGTTTTATACCTTAATGCTAGCTACTTACAGACTTTACCTCCATACTGTTTATTTCCATGCTACCCCTCATTACCTCTGCTTTCTTCACCGAGCTCGTTTCCATCTTCGTATCATAATCTCCTCTTCTCACCTCCGTCACAAACTTCCCGTTATTGACAGGGTTCAGTCCAGCAATTCGGAATGGCAAGCCTCGACATAATCAACAAAGAAGCCATCAAGCCGGGCGAGGAGATCTCCTGGAATAATGAGTTGAAAAACGGCATGTTGCACACCACAAACATCCTCGATGAAGCAATATCAGACGACGGCAGTCGCATCGTGGCGATTTGCAACTATGTCGAAACCTGTGGCTCCCAATGCCCCGTCCTGTCTGCGAATCCACCCAATCTGGAATCTGGGGAGCCCAATCCGACCATCGACTATGGTAGCGTATCCCGATTTGTCAAATCCAATAAGGGGAGACTTTCTCAGGGGACCATGGCCGCATTTGAGGAACTGGCACTCCATCGCCGTTCATATTTCGAGGCTTTTAATATCTTCTTCAAATCGGACATTGTGCTGCGTGACCTCTATGCAGAGCGGTGTCAGCTGCATATGAAATGGCAGGATATCAAGATGCATCCGGATAGGTTTCCCGTTGGGGATCAACAGGATGTTTGCAATCGAGTCGACATCAATACACGCAATTGCATCGGGGAGAAAGCGAAACGCATTGCTTATATTCAGGAGCTTGCAACATGTACTGTCCAGCTTGTGAAAGTTAAGTGTAGAGCCATCTCAATTGTCCAAAATGTCCATGATGAGAAAACAGAACTGCAAGGTCAGAAGCAGAAGTTGTCCAAGCATTGATATGGATGCCTTGACAGACTCTGGCACAAACACGACATCAGCATTGTCATCAGCAATGATAGTGACACCAGCACTTACTTCCTTTACCTCCACTACAACCCTTCCAGCAACCTTATAACCAGCTCAAGCCCCGATGGATCCCAACCATGTCCCATGTCCCATGTCCCATCCAATCCCCATTCCTATCCCACAGGTGCAAATCCCCACATTCCCCAAACTAGTCCATTCTGCTCATTTTGGAGGCCCCCGTCAGACCACTCCATCCATCTCGAGCCCAGCTGCGATCTGTAACGGGCGCTTTGGTCTGTGATTTTTGCTTTCTTTTCATAAATTTTTTTTTTTTTGGGCAAAGAGAGCTTCCGTCATTTTGTCTTCCCCCTGCAATTTACAAATTTCGGTGAACGACCACGCAGCCACCACACCCACATACTGTCATTTCTGAGAGGACTAGGATTGAGGAAACGGGGATTCACTCGCGATCCTCGTATTGCTCCTATTGCTATTTACACTATCCTGGAAGAGGAGCTCCAGCCAATTTTCTCATCTACACACTACTCTTTGTGTTATATATCTCCCCCGTGATATCACGTCAAGTTAACAAGGTGTGGATATGTTTCATGTTTCACCCTAGATCAGATACGATACGATATGACATGACCTTGTACTGTATGATACCCAACACAGATAGGTGTAGTTAGGCTTTTAAAATCCCCCGTTTTTCTGTGTTTGAGTTTTGTCCCATTGCTTAACTTTCCGAAAAGGCTAAATTCGCCCGCCAACAAACAGGGGGTGATTCTCGAAATATTCGAGGGTGCCCAGCATTGTCCGTGTTGTTTGAATGGGACGGGGTTAACATAAAGAGAGCTCTAGAATCATGCATAAGTTAAAACTGATACGTTTTTCGAGCTGGTGGGGAGACTCTCGAACGCCACTGAATCCTCCACACATGGGCCAAGGATATATCTTCATGAATCGGTTGAGAGTGGTCACTTCAGATAACCCATCTACTCAACTCCTTGGGCGTTTGGTATGTGCAGTCACAAATGTTCAACTCCGTTGGCAGAATCATAAATGATTTTTTAGTGCCAAAGAAAAGGTATTTTAAATAACGGTAACCCAGAAAGCAGCCGTAAGCCTCCACAGTTCTGGCTTGGCTTCAAAGCTAGAAGTTCCTGGTAAAATTAACTCAAAATCTTTGCTGCAGATTATCCCGCCCCCGGATTTCTTCTCTTTCTTCCCAAAGAGCCTCAGAGAGGGTAAGTATGAGCCTATGGGTTGATGAGAGGATGGAAAGGGGTATTGTTGTCAATTCGTCACTGACAGCCATTTGAAATTGGGTTATCCGGAGTATAAGTGGCAATCAAATACAGGGAACCCTAGAACAGTATTGATCCCAATAATAATACATTGATGTGTTGAAATGTCAACATTTTTCCCACGAAAGTCGAACGCGGAATCTTGGATAGATGGAAAGCTACCTCAGCTGCTAGGCACATATAACTACTTACCTCGGTAAGAAATCTAGTGATGGTCGGATAGTCGGGTCCCAGACACGAGATGCAGATTATCCCCAGAGCAGCCAAATAGAAGTAAAGAGGAAGAATGAAAGCGCGATCCGCATCGGCAGTTTACCGACGTCAGAGCATGCAACTAGTTGTGAAGTGGAGTATGCAGTTTTATATTATACATGTATGTCCACGAAGTGCCCGCATTAAAACTGCTGCATTTGCCGTATAAACGACGACCGCCTAGAAAAGTCGTTTCACTGCAAGATGGTGGCCTAAGGAATGCGACGAGACGACGATACCATCACTGGACATGTCGTGGGGGTTCAACTGAGAAATGCCGCGAAACATGGGGAAATAGCCCTCTCTGGTCAGGGGTAAATCCCCTCCTGCCAGTCACGTAAATTAGCTGAAGAGACCTGCCATTGCATTATGCGGGGGTTGAGTAACTTGGCGTGGGTTTGCTGGTTGGGGGAATTAACTGGGGTTGACAGACTGAAGCATCGATACCTAATCTTTAGCGACTCTGCTGCCAGGAACGACAATAACTAGTTATTTGATCTCTGTAGCTTAGAAATCTGGCAAGAATTTATGCTCGTTCTCTGCCAAGTTGTGGACGCAGCCTCTCTCCTTCGTGTTTGAATTAAGCAGTTCAAGCGCTCAGTTTGCGAGAGAATGTCGGGGTTTAAACTGACGCTGTTTGTTGGTTGGTCAGATAGCTTAACTTCAAAACAGGTAGATGCAGCAGCTAATTACCTTGATAAAGGTATACTGATCAAGTGTCCCTTCTGAGACTTTGGAGATATATAGAGCAGAGCGGAGGTATCTCTGCAATACTGATTCTTGCATGTTTACTAGTATTCAAGCCTATCAAAGTTCAGAATCTGCAGCAACTTGGCGCGGAAATTCTAATGTTCTCCAGCACTATTCGCGTGTTTCATCGAAACCAAAGAGTTACTTACCTGTTGACCACAAATTGTCCGCGAGAATGGATACACCACGTACAGTTGAACAATCGATTCGCAGCCTAACTGGACTCTCCTTACTCCGAACTAAAAACAGCCGTTGGAGCCTGGATGCATTCTGGCTGGTTCCCAGCGCAAGTGCTCAAATGTTGCAGGATGTCAGGGCCGGCGCCCCCAAGCTGTGCTAAGGAGCTGACTACCAGAGTCCGCCTGATAATAAACCGACTGACCACCGACAGAAAATGATCGGGAACAGTCTAAATTGAAATTAAATGGTACACGGCATATACGTAGTTAGATAAAACTATCATACAATTTTTAAAGATTTAAATTAATGATTGTGAAGATAAGAGAAATTATTAATTTTATATAGATAGATAGTTTTCAATTATATATTCTCTGTAACTTATAAATTCATTATGAAATTTAATAAAATAAATCAACTTACTGGCTAGCTACTACTTTTTGTTTTTTAAATTAAAAAGGTGCGTATATTTTAAAAGCTGATTATTGAATATATATAAATTTTGAAAAAAAAAAAAAATCCCTGAAATTCCTATAAAAATTAATATATATGATGAATAACTGATTGTATTTATTTTCAATATATTTTATATATTATTACTTTATTCATTTAATCTTATCATCTTAAACATTAAAGTCTTGGATCATATGAGATGACTAATAGACTAAATAAACATAGTTAAATAGAGAATAATAAGTAAAAAAAAGTATATAGGTAATATTGCAAAGTTAATAATTTTTTATAATTCAAACTAATCACTGATAATCTCGCTATTATATATAGACAAATTGTCTCAGTGTTCGTTGATATTGTCATGTTGCTATAATATTTCAGTTGAAACATAATTTTCTTATAATATCCAACATTTATCCATTCATCTGATTCATAGATTAATTTTAGCAATTCAACTACCAGAGTTAAAATAAACTAAAGTTAGATTAAAATTAAGATTAAAATTAAAAATTAGAATAAAGTTAAAAGTCTAATCCAACTATGAAATATAATAACAAAACCACTAACTATCATTAAAATCATATAAAGATTTGTGTGGGATGTATGTTGAATATAATTGGTTTTAATGACAGAGAAATGTCATGATCTGGAAGTTTAGATCATGTCAAAGACTTTTTTCAGTCGAGATTTTCAACCGTGTTCAACCTTTTAAAACCACATTCAGCTAATACACTATTAGTATTAGCACTGGTTATTATTATAGGGCAGCCAACCTTCCCCCTAACTATATGTTCCACTAATTAGATGATATTCTTCACAGTTGCAGTGGCGGCCAACAGGGGGGCTCAGCCTGCAAACTTTACGTTGCATCCAACAGCTTAGCAACCTGCCTAGCATTTGTTCCGGCCACGGAGGACTGTTGATGGAGATTCAGAGAATCAACAACGACTCATCCATTCAACCAACAATGAAGGCTTCTTGACGCAAATGCAATCATTTTTGCACTGTGGAGAAAGAGCAGTGAGTTACATGCACTGTAAACATTTACTGCTTGCCATGTCACACTGCATGTCTCCCCACGCATCCGCGCCTCTCCTCGTTTTAATTCAAGGACGAGGTTGCATGGGAAAGGATCAGTCCTACCTAGCTTTTGCGGCGCCTTTTCATTTGTTTTTTTTTTTTCTCTCTCGCGCATTTCAAGGGACCAACTTCTCTATTTTCCGGGATGGCTGGTAGCTGAGAACCATGAGTGCCGATCTCCATCTCCAACCCCAGCAACCATATAAAGGGTACTGCATCCCGTCTCCAACATTGAAAAACAAAATGTACGATCAAAGAAGGGAACTCAATAAGCCTTCAGCCTTCACTTCAGTTGATCTTTTCAACCGGTTGAAATATGCACGCCCACGGGCTGTTTCAGGCTGTGGTCACAGCTACCCTCTTGGCCACAGCGGTGGGATCTGCTGAAGACCGTGTCAAGGTCAACCCTTTGCCGGCCCCCGCTGAAATAACGTGGAGCAAATCGGGGCCAATTCCATTTTCTAGAGCTATCTGGTGCAGAGGATGCGACCACCCTCTTGTCAGGGACGCATGGAACCGTACGCTCAGTGCCATTACAACTATCAAATGGGTTCCCGCTGCTCTCGAAAAACAGATTCCGACATTTGTTCCATTCCCAAAGAGCAAACGTGACGGCTCACCGGGCCCAACTCTTAGACATATCAATGTTACAATCAAAGATCATAAGTCGGAATTACAGCACGGCGTCGACGAATCTTACACTCTGGATATTAAAAAAGGCTCGGGTGCTATTGAGATCTTAGCCAACACTATCTGGGGAGCTATTCATGCCTTTACAACTTTGCAACAGCTTGTTATTGCCTGCGAGAAAGGAGGCCTCATTGTCGAACAGGCAGTCTCAATCAAAGACAAGCCTCTGTATCCATATCGGGGAATCATGATTGATACCGGCCGCAACTACATCAGCGTCGATAAAATCAAAGAGCAGATCGACGGCATGGCATTGGCAAAACTCAACGTTCTCCATTGGCATCTCTACGACTCCCAGTCTTGGCCAATCAAAATGAACTCCTACCCAGAGATGACCAATGACGCCTATTCACCTCGGGAAGTTTACACTGCGCAAGACATCAAAAGAATTGTCGAGTATGCCCGCGCACGTGCCATTCGCGTCATCCCCGAAGCAGACCTGCCAGGCCATTCAGCATCGGGCTGGCAACAAGTCGATCCCAAGATGGTCACCTGTGCGGATTCCTGGTGGTCAAACGACGTCTGGGAACTGCATACAGCTGTCGAGCCTAACCCGGGTCAACTCGACATGGTTTACGACAAAACCTACGAAGTAGTGGGAAATGTCTACAAGGAACTTACCAGCTATTTCCCTGATAACTTCTTCCATGTTGGCGGCGACGAAGTGCACCCCAACTGCTTCAACTTCAGCAGCAATATCCGCGAATGGTTCGCTGAGGACAAATCGCGCAACTTCAACGACCTCCTCGCGCTATGGGTTGAGAAATCCATGCCAATCTTCCAGGACCACAAAGCTCGCCGCCTCATCATGTGGGAAGACATGGTACTTGCCGGCATGCACGCTGACAACATCCCCAAAGATGTCATCATGCAGAGCTGGAACAACGGCCTCACCAACATCAAAAAGTTAACTAGCATGGGCCACGATGTCATTGTCTCTTCTGCGGTCTTCTTCTATCTCGACTGCGGCCACGGTGGCTGGGTTGGCAATGACCACCGCTACAATGTAATGTCCAACCCTAACGAAGGCACCCCCAGCTTCAACTACCTCGGTCCTGGTGGCTCTTGGTGCGCCCCTTATAAGACCTGGCAGCGTATCTATGACTACGACTTCACCGACGGCCTGACTGAGGATGAAAAGAAGCATGTTATTGGCGTTACCGCACCGCTGTGGTCTGAGCAGGTCGACGATGTGGTGATTTCATCCAAGTTTTGGCCACGTGCCGCTGCGTTGGGTGAACTCGCTTGGTCTGGCAATGTCAATGCTACGGGCCACAAGAGAACGACTGAGATGACGGCGCGCATTCTGAATTTCCGAGAGTATTTGTTGGCGAATAAGGTTCAGGCTGCACCGCTGCAGCCCAAGTATTGCTTGCAGCATCCGCACGCATGTGATTTGAACTATAACCAGTCAGTTATTACATGAGGGCGAGAGTGTTTTAGGTGGTCTACCTGATAGTGACAGTCTTTTCTCCCATTTTTTCTTTTCATGGACATAACATATTTTTAGATATTCTCTTTGGTCTTAGTTTGACTCATTTTTACTTCTACTCATGGGCATATGTGATGCCATATTCAACTCATTAGTCATTGAATTGTTAATTGTCTCCTTGTTTTTGCCAATGCTGCAGGTAACGTTAGGTAGCAACGAGAATAAATATTGGAATTATAAATGAGCTTCGCAATGTGTCTTAAGGTGTGCGATGTTACTTGAAGAATGGAGAGAAAAATCCTTAAGTAATGAAAATACGGAGTAGTTACTAGTTGGCTTTTATAATTCCTCAAAGTCAGATAAATAAATTGATGAATACCACAAACGAATGCAATATGAAGCATGACCTTGTATTTTGGAGAAAAGAGTAGCTATATAAACGAGTAATAAAAAAGCAAAGTGGGATAATATCAAATCATAAAATTAGAAATTGAGGTAATTACGAAAAACAACAATAATAAAAAGAAACTACTCACTCAACGAAATGTAGAGGACGGAAAAGAAACAGTATCTGTAGCAAAAAACAAACCCTTGTGAAGAAAGAGGGATGTAATAAAACAAGCCAAGAAGCCAATCATAGTTATTTCAAACTCTGCAAATCCATCATCACTTTCCACGTATGTGGCACGAAAATTGGTATGCATTCTCTTTGAGAGTCTGATTTGCCTAGGAATCTATGGCAAGGGAAAGACCATGACGAATGGAATATAAACACAACACGAGCCGGAGAAGAAGAAACGAGAGAGTATGACAATAGAGGGGAAGAGAAAGAGGTAAATATAAATATACCCCTGGTCCTGATCCGTCTTTTAAATGTTTATCACTTCCTTCATGATGCGATTCTGCTGCCTCCATACAAAACAGGTATAAATCTAATAAAACAGGATAAAATATATGTGAATATAGAAATGGAAATGGAGGCTGAGGAGAATATTAGCAGGAAAGCAAGGACAATAAGAAGAGAATAAGTGAGAAAGGAGCAGAATGAAATGAAATCTGAACAAAAAAAGACCAGAAAAAGAGAATCTTAAAAGATTCTCTGGTGAGAGAACCGAAGTATGTACCCAATATAATAATAATAATAATAATAATAACCTCTCACTCCTCCTTCAACGTTCCCCCAGTCCTGCCCCCGTCCCGAACATTAAGTCTAGTTGCCTTCCTCCCAGCCTTCAGCATGCTCAATCGCTTCATCACAGAGTCTCGAACTCCACCTCCACCACCCCCGGTATTAGCGTTAGCAGAGCCATCGACAGGTGCCCTACTTGCCGTAATACTACTACTATTAATCACACTATTGTCCTCGTAAATGTGATTCTTTCCATGATTATTCTGGGAACTGGTGGCCGTCCCCCCCATCGCAGTTTTCGCCCCAAGCCGCTCCGATGTCACGGGGTGAGCGTTGCTTGCACTCGTAACATTATTATTGCCATTGTTCCCATGTGTCCCACCAGACACCGTCCGTGTAATCTGGCTCATCTTCGCTGCGGCATTGCTGATGCTGCTGATGACGACACCGCCAGTACTCTTTTCCGTGTTGTAGGGGGAGGAAACATTGTTCTCATTCCTCCCTTTATGTGATCGAGATGATCGTGCCCGTTTCATGATCCGCTGCTGCGTTGTACGAATATCCTCTGTGGATGTGGCAGGGGCAGAGATGGGTGAGCTATTTTTGTGTGTATCATTTCCGCCACCCCCTCCAAACCAGCTACGTCTTTTAGAGGGGGTGTCACCGCCTCGTGTACGTGACCGTCGACTCGCTGCACGGCTAGGGGTGACAGAGACGGCGTCCGCGCCGTCTGTTTTCGCGGTTGAGGGACGCGATGTGTGTGTTCCGTTGAGCTTAGATTCAGATTGCTGGCGCGCATCGTTGGCAGTAGCTGTAATGGTGGAGGTTGAGTTGTTGGCGGTATGATTGGAGCGTTTGAAGGGATTCAAACTGATTCGATGCGTGCTGATGGATTTCTCGTGGTTATGTTTGGTGTGGGAAGGATTGTCCTGCTGGCGAGCGGCGCGAATGAGGTCCTGCTCGGGACTGATGGAGCGGGCGTTTGTGATGGGTTGTGGTCGAGAGGAGATTAAAGGTTCGGAATGGTCCCCGGGGAGATTGGGCGGTTCTTCCGTTTCTGGTGTGTTGCAGACAGGTGTGAGAGAGGCAACTTCAGGGGCAAAGGCAAACTCGAAACGACGTGTGAGTTCCGCCTGGGTAGCCTGGTAAGCGGGGCGACTGTACAATGCTAAGCAGCGCTTTATTGCAAGAGCGTGATCGATGAGTGCAACAGCCAGAGCGTTGTTTAAAGGATCGATGGGGTGTGCAATTTGGCCCTCGTCATCCTCACCATCATGCAAATTCATGGCCGCCTGACTTTCATCTAGCAAAAACTGTCTGTAAAGAGCAACGCAGCCTGAATGCGATGATTCGAGATCAAGCAGATTGGTTAACACATCAGTTAGACCCGTCAGATTCAAGTCATTCTCAGAGGAAGCTCGTCTCTCTAAAAGCAGGAGCTCGTTTGTTTTACGCCAAGTCCGCTCAATAGCCGTTTGGAGAGGAGTCAGGACAATTTCATCCGTAGATACAATTTCACTTCTCCTGAGGATATTCGGAAAAGGTTCCGCAGTCGTGTAAATCGTTTTTGCGACCCATTGTTCTTTTACATTATCTCCACTAGTATGTCGTTTTGATGTGACGGAAAATTGAGAGGGTAGGGAGGTCAATAGATGCTCTCGAACTGAATGAGGCACCTTGGACCGCTGGTAGACAGTGTGATTCATATCCCTGTGTACACTGACGGCAGATATCTGCAAGAATTGCCCCTCAACGTCCTCAGGCTCATCCGATGATATGATCTGAGCTGCTGGATATTCCTTTTGCATACGATCTGTAAAAGTAGCCATCCGATCAGTCGGAGACCCTTCGAAGATATACTGCTTATCCCGTAGACTAGTTGGGAATCCAAGACCTTTGAACGTGACGCGGAAATATCTCTGAGGTGGATTGGTATCTTTCACAATCTGATCATAAATTTTGGCCATCGATGCCTTAGTTCTTGACAGTTTTGAGAAATCAAGTGTCATGTGCTCGTAATAATGGGCAAGTTTCCTATAGCAGGATAGGGCATGTGCCCAGGCCTTACCGTCTTCAAAGTGTTGAATTATTTCAAAATAGAGCGCCTCTTTTCGCTCAAAGGATGTCTGTTCGGGGAAAGCGGGGTTCGTGAGAGTAGGTACCAGCTTGGAAAGGTCCCAATCATAAAGATCAGCATGGAGCTGAAGGGCAAGACCAGCTTCGGTATAATTACGTGCCGCAACCTGTCCACGGGCGAGTTCATGCACGTATCGTATAAATATATCTTCCTTGTCCATGTCTTTCATAAACTCCATCAGCTTCAAGGTGTTGAGACTCTCCGTAATGTTTCCATTATGAGATGCAACCAAAAGATCTAGCAACTCATCGACAGTAGCAACAAGTTCCTTCAACGCAACAAGAAGCTCAGCATCAGGATTTGAGGTGCTTGTTTCAAAAAGGTCTAGTAACTCGCTGATAAACAATTTCTGCGTCCCACTCTCGCTAATGTTCTTAGTTTTGAACAGGAGATCCAAACTGGATATTATTTCTGCTTCCACTATAGAAAGGTCTTCATTCAATTGCCATTCGCTAACTATCATGGTCTGCAGAATTCGCACTGCAACGTGTCGAAGGCCTTCGTGTATGCTGAGGCAGAGTTCGATAATCGGAGAGACAAGGGTAGGAACATATTGAACCTGATATCCGCCCAGCTTCTTCAAACCATAGCGCTCTTGTTCGTCCGCAGTGGTATCCCAACCAATAGACTCCCAGGTCCTCTGTAACAAATCAGCGCCGTGCTCTCGCACATCACCAGCAATCTTCCATACTGCCCGGCGTTTCTGCTCGGGGAATGTTTCGAGTGCGAGGGCATCACTTGATACAAGCTTCAACAATGTGTCAAAGAATAATTTCCACAGTTCCATGTCGAAATTATCCGCATCATCGGGAGGGGGAAGGAATGAGCTGATGAGCATTGTTGACAGGTATTCCAAGCTCTTCATGGTCGATCGGTGATGATAGATGTGTACACTCAGCCATGTAGAGGGATAAGCCTCACAGCTAAGAATAGATTTGTGGGTTTGGAGAGACTGTGTCAAAAACAAGGCGAGATCTTCATCCTTGAGCAAAAGCGGTGTCGGGTTCGGTATTTTCGCAAGAGAGGCAATAATGGCTGCAAGTTCAACGAGACTTTCTTCGAATTTCTGCTTTATTTTTGACTGCTTGAGCTGGAAAGGGAAAGATTTACTGAACAGCATTGACAACCAATTTGTTTCTTCAACACCATCCCCAACGAGAGCGCAGTACGATGCTACAGCCTTCGGCATGTATGCATACAGTTCAGGAGAGGGGTGCTTCAGCTGCTCTGCAACAATTGACGAACAGAGCCGAACTTGGTCTCGATACTGGTCATTGGCATCACTGGTTCGTCCCCAGTACGGAGCAAGCCAACCGATACAGCAGGTATATAGAGTCTGCCTATCTTTCACGGACTCGAAAAGTGGAAGTTGGATATAATTAAGAATCAGAACCAGCTTGTAAAGGATAAGCATGCTCTTCACATCTTTGCAGGCATCCATAAAGCTCAAGGCAATATTCATGATTTCTTCCTTGGTCAAGGCATTTGAAAGTTCGGGCAGCCAGGTATGGAAATGCTGAACTACCAAAGTCTTACTCCCGACTAGGATCGGAGAAGGATTTTGCATGAGGGATTCCACAGACTGGAAAATAAAATGCAAATCACGGTTGAAGGTCGACTGAACTTTGGTGATACCAATACCTTCCTCCTTTACCTTTTGCTGCTCCCTGGCGTTGATTATAAATTTTAGCAGATGTCGGCCAACCTTGAAAGCTGCACGGAGGTTACGAGACTGTTGAGAATCAGGAGTAGCTTGGAGAAGGCGGCAATAGCTCCGGATTAGACAGGATGTAGCAAAGGGAAAGTTGAACTGCTTTTCAGCGTAATGGTCGACCAAGGGACCAAGGTTAAATCGACGATCATGTACGATGCCAAGGACAGTAACCAAGTCATTGAAAACGAGATCTTCATACTCCTCATTCCCAGCATTCTCCACAATAATCCCAAACAGCGCATCGAACACATCCCGCAACTGCTTCACTATTTCTATTTCTGGGACGAAAACGATCCTTTTCAAAAGTGCTAGAACTTCCGTTGCGGACCGTTCTCGCCAGCCGATAAGGCCCAGAATAACTTGATCCTGGGAGTACTCCGTACTGCAGAGGTCAGTTTCTATGGATAATGTTGCTAGGGGACCAGTAACAGCTTCATCTTTAGCAGATTCGTTTTTCCCAAGTGCACTCCAGGGAAGGGAGAGGTAGGCTCCACGCCCATTTTCAATGCTCGAGGTAGATTTGTCATAGGCATACAATAACAGAGAGTGAGGACCATCACGAATAAATGCCTGTTGATCCCACAATGGCATCCAGCTTAGAGCAAATGGAAACTCGGGAGCGTCAGCTACGCTCATTATAAGATGGGAACCGGGAACTTCATCAGCAGGAATGTTTAATCGAATCGATTGATTCCAGGGTGAGCCTCTTTGTGTAACCGTAGTTCTCCACGCAGTTTGACCTGGCCCGTTAGAAGAAGGGTAAATACAATGTTCAAGACGTACACCTGCCGCATTGCGGACTTCAACGGTCAACTGGAGGTTTCGTAGACCGGTCATCTGTGGAACAGGAAGCTGGCCGTTAATCGGATGAGAAAGCAATGCGTCTTGTGAAATGGTTGCACGATTTATCGTGATATAGATATCGGATCTTGGTTTAGTGGGCGCACCGGTAAATCCTATTCGCTTTGTTTGCGCAACGTTATGCAGCGATGTAGGGTTGTTTCGTACAAGCGTCTCAGCATCGTTGCTGGTGAATGGGTGGAGGTGTGAATGCACTCTCGAGATGCGATGGGATCTCACATATTGACCAGTTGGGCTATAAAGAAGGGACTGTATGACCTCATCGAAGCCCTCAGAATAGTTACCCTCTTCATCATTTTCACCAACGGGAGACCAAAAGTTGATGACCTGCTCGACCTCCTTGTTTTGCTTGAGCAGCGACCCGATTTCCAGAGCGCCAACTCCCACTGTCCGAATAACTGTAGGTTCTTTTCCTGGGGTGTCGGGCTTGTTGGGCTTAGCTGTAACGGAGTCACTTGATTGTGATAGAGATCTTGACGGTTCTTTGCCCACCTCGAGACCTGAACCCCTAGATTTATGGCCCCACATCATACTCCGTCTACCCTTTAAGCTGCCCTTACCTGCACTGTTGAGACTAGAAGAAACTTTATTTGAGAACGATCCATCGCGGGAACTTGATGATCGAGTCTTTGGTGGCGCGTCAATTCTTGGTGATTCAGGTCCCATGGCCTTGATGACAAGGTAAAGCTTGGAATCGGAGTTGGAACCTTCGCCAATATCCGATGCACTCAATTCTGTAAAGAGCGTCTTCATCTTTGTATTGTCAACCAGGTTTGAGAAGGTTTCTACGGCTGGGAGATCTAAAGTGTAAGTTTCTGAAAGTTGTCTAGTATCACCATTGGCTTGTTTCAACCATAAGCTGATACCAAGGATTACCGAATTCGCATCGGTTCCAGAAACAGCGTTCACTTCGAAAAGAACGTGGTGAAGCGAGATATTGTCGACTTGAGGAGTGAGTCCACTGTCGAGCATGCTCATCTCAGACTGCAGCTTGGTGAGTTCCGTGGCTGAATCATCTCCGGTAAGTAGGCGCCCTCGTTGCTTCGGGTCGCGCACAACCACTTCTCCGCTAAGCATTTTATTTCCCCGCACAAGATTCCAAACTGTCTCCTCACGCAAAGTTGCAAGCTCTTGAGCTGTTAGGATATTGTGCAGCAGCTGTCGTCGCGCAAGATCTAGTTCCAAGACAATATTCGACAAGCTCTCCAGCGTTGTGTATTGGCGAGCCAGGAGCAGTTGGTGGATGTTTGTGGAATGCCATTCGCGCAAACACGAAGCGATCTCATCAACGAGAGGTTCCGAAACCGATGTGGGGGTCTCGTCACCGATTTTAAGCATGGGCACTGGAGCAGGTGGTTTTGTAGTGTTTGGGTCGCGAGGGCCTAGGGATATTGGCGTCAATGGTAAAGATGGAGACACAGACCGCCGTCTGGTTCCATCCTCCTCTAGTTTGATAATCGTAATTTGGGACATCTTTTTCTGCGACGCTTTCAGATCCCCTTCACCGTTGTGAAGCGTCTTGCTATCCACGGCAGAAAAGCTGTCCTCCAGAGACCCGGCGCTCGTTGTTGAGCCAGCATATCTCCTCGGGACAGGCTCAGTGCTTAATCTGCCATCCTTTGACCCATCTGAATCACCCAAGACTTCCCGCACTTCTACGCAATTCTTGGGGAAGATTCCTGAAAACACGCGTGCCTCAAGTGTACGGCCTTTGACGCTAGTCAGGCCGGCAAGCAGCGAAGGAGGCGCAACAAGATAACCCCGATACCACGAGCCATTTATCCCACCCTGTTCAATTATGTAAAGTTCATCGCCCAGTTCTAATGGAAGGTCTGCAGGAGAGGAAGGTTGGAAAGGGTAGATAGCGACTGCAAAGGCGATTCGTGGAAGTGGTCGCCAGGGCATTGTGTATGTAATGAGGGAATGGAATGCGGATATGGAAACGTTAATTAAAAATTAAAGGTGAGAAAGAAGAAGTAGAAGAAGAAGAAGAAGCCAAGTGTTATAGGCAAAAGACAGGATAGAAGAGGAGAGAGAGCACGGTCGGCAGCGCAACGAAGCCTTTGTCCGGTTGGTAAGGCTGTTACATTCAGAAGCAATGGCTCGGTCTCCGGATAACTGAAGGGCAAATGCACCCGCGACTTGAAACCACTACGGAGAAATAGAGAGAGTCACATCAGCAATCGCATCAATTTGCAAGAAAACCCTCGGTAGAAAGCTCAGATAGCAATGAATAATGATACATACCAGACGGACGGAGAGGATCAAGCCCACTGCACGGGTTCGATCGATGCTAGCGAGGGAGAAGGACGGACAATAGATGGGTTGAGATCGGTGGAAGAACCTCGCTAGATCAACGCCCCTGAGGCGCACAGACATTTAAGGGTCCCCCAAAACAAGAAGATGGATGTGAATGCCAGTAGAATTTTTCGTTCTTTTCTTTTCTTTTCTTTTCTTTTTTCTGTGCTGACCAGACGGGGGAGATATCTTGGTCAAAAAACTTCCAAGCTTGCCTGCTTGTTGGTCAATTGGTTGTTGTCAACAGGCGCTAGATGTTGGAAGGACACAAGATTTATTTACTCCGTCGTCAGTCAATTAATAAATTTGATCGAAAACCCTGCAGGTTTCCAAGGTTTGTTCTTGATATTTCAGCCGCCGTTGATTTCTGTGCCCTCAATTCTTCCCACTTGGGTCTGGAGGAGTGAGGGATGTTGCGTTAGTCCGGAGCTTAACTGGTTTTTCCTTTTCTTTCCCTCCCTCTATTCGAATCTCTTTTGGACATCGGATGACCCGGTGGCAGAGTTTAGTTGGTTCTTAGTTAGTTATTTAAGGTGGGATTGATGGGGAAGAGCACGAATTCGACAATGGGCGGTGGAGATGGATAGCAGCATAACCAGCTGCATGCATTGCTACGTTGAGGGGTTGAGAGCAACGAACCGTCGTTGGTGCAGGTGGAGGTTGGGAGGTGCATGTAAATAAAGAAAGGCATGTGTCTGATCCTTGGAACCGCATTTGCGTATACCAATAATGGACTCGAGTCTGCAACAAACTCTGTTTCTGAATTCGTAAATATTTACGGTGCAGTTAACTATATTTAAACGTTATCATCCGGCTACCCCCCCCCGACAACTCTAAACTTGCCCTCGGGGGGAATCGGGCCTGAGACCGCTAGGATTAACTGTTTAACTGACAGCCTTGTGCTAGGATTAAAAGGAGTATTGAAATATATTCATAGTCGGTCATTTATCGGTTGCTTCTTGGACATATATAAAACAATTTGGATGATGACGTCTCAGATTGTTAACTCATTTTTTATTGGCTCAGAGACCTTCTCAATTTTGCTCATCTTCAATCCCGTATCCCCGTTCTCTTGGAGATGGTGTGGAGAGTATCCGTATTCTAACTTTCCCCTGACAGTTCTAAACATTATTTATGCTTATTCCTGATATCCTCTGAATTTGCCCCCTGGAATATTAGCACTCGACAACCTAGTTGATACTTATCGAGTAAACTTTGTAAGAGCAAGCAAGCATTAATAGGTCGTAGTTTCACAATGAGTTTCGTCAAAGGAATTCGATGTAGAAAATAGATCAAAAAAAGGGGGTAAAAGGTGTAGGTTAAGAAAGGGCAAGTCCGATCAAAAAGGAAGTAACCAGAAGATGGAAATCGTATTTGTAAGGGAATATAGATGATGGGAAAAAAAATTGTGGGAGGATATGACGAATTGACAAATAAACCGCAGGTAGAGGGAGAATGAGAATGAGTACCAAAAATTAAACAAAGGTTAAAACACAATCAAGGGCCAAACTCGGGTTCAACCCCTTACAGGAGGAACGCCAATAATACCACATCCAAAAAATCGCAATAAAAGAGAAAATAATCTAGCGTGACAAACGTATGAAAAGGCTCAATGTATATCATCTCTTGAACATCGATGCAGCCTCCTCTTTCCGCCACTCCAATTCCACCTGCCCTTCATAAACCAGCTCAATAATCCGTCTCGAACGATCATGTACATCGGAATACCGCGATTCACATTCCTTCAACACCTTTACCACCAAACTGCGCGAAACGCCCGGATCATCCGCGTCTCCGAAATGCTTCTCGATACGCTTCTTCAGAGCATCGATGCCCCTTCGCAACTCCTTGGCGTCAAACGAAGTGAGAAGTTTCTTAACGAGGATGCGCGAATGGCTGGTGCGGAGGGCGATATCGGTTGGTGTGGCTGCGGTCTGAAGGAGGGATTCTGTCGATTCGATGAAGTCAAGCAGTTTACCGAGGGGTCGGCGAATTACTGCATCAATATACAGCCGTAAGTGCTCTTGTAAGTCGTGTGTTGCACGATCCTTCCATTCGGTCAGAACGAGGTTATCGCGGCAGTCAACCTCTTCGAGGTAATGATTCATATTCTCAATCAAGAGAATGTGATAATTAAGCGCTTCTTTGTCTTCTGGGTCTTGAGCACCTCCTGATGAGACGGTTTGCTGACCGGGCGCTTCTTTGGCGATAAATTTCAAACTGTCCCACATGGCGCGGATTATTTTCTCGTAGGCTTCATTTACACAGAGCCGTATGTCGAGCGTCTCTTGGGTGGATAATGAGATCATATTTTCGATCGTTGCAGAGAAATTAGGGAAAGTTCGCATGAACGAGATAACCCCTTTACGTTTCTTGACTTTGACCTTTGTCTCTTCGATAGCACGGATTTGCTCTTCGACAAACCGATTGAAGAGCCCCATAAAATGAGAATGTATTTTCTGGAGATTGCGAACGATGAATTCCTGGCTCGTTTCATCAAAAGCAGATATCTTCCTCTCTAAAGCAAATAATACACCAACTCCTTGCCTACGTATCGTGTCAGTCGTAATAGATGAGTTCAGCATGTTTGGGAAATAAACTTACAGAGGTTCAGCTCTAGAGGCCCACCCCGCTAAACTCTGCATATCAGAAGTCCAGGGAGAAAATATTTCATCCATAATCTGCTCGACTTTCTTAGCCATGTCACGGTCCGGATCATATAACTCATTGACGCTGAATATTGGCGGTCTTCTATCCTCTGGTCGAGCAGCAGCGACCAGATCTGGGAACTCAATGTTTGACAGTGAGTTGAGATGAAAGAATTTCACCACGAAGTTTTGTTCTTCCGCAATGATCTTCGTTGTGTCTTCCAATGAACCGCCAAACACCTCATAAGGCTCAATTTTCCCATTATTATCTGGTCCTGGAGCTCGCGGGTTTCCGGCAACGCGGACCGTTTTGCCTCGCCTCACTGTCAATTTCCGAGCGGCAGTTGTGATGCCATCTCCATCCCGTTCCTTCTCCTGGTGAGTGAATAACAATTCCTGCTCATCGCCGGTAGGTTGCCGTGCCTCACGCTTCCATGCCAGTATATTGTCCCTAAACTCGTTCTGATATGGTTTTTTCATCTGTTGCTCATATTGCGTGGTAATGGCGCTCCAATCCGGTGGGCTGACTTCACGTGCAAAAAGCATCAACGAGCTATACATCCAGAGTTCTTGCCGGGCGTGGTCATGGGCACCCAAAATAAGTTTCTCTGATTTGGAGTTTGCAATCGAATCCATCATTTTTTGCTCTGCGATTCTAAAAGCAAGGCTCATATATTGCTTCAAACGTTGTAGAAAGAGCTGGACTTCATTACGGTAGTCAACCGTTTTCTCCTTCACTGCGCGCATCTGTCCAATTTCAGTATCAGCATACACGCCAAGGACACCCCGATCACCAGCAGCGTCAGCAAGCCTCTTTTTGTTTATTCCAATATCAGGATCAATCGTCGCCATCGCTTTGTACAAGATAGCAAGGGAAGATTCTGTTTCTTGAATGCCATCCGGGTTGCTGAGGGATGCTTCCCGAAGGGCGCTGAGGTCAGTTGAGGAAATGGAAATCGTCTTAAGGAGATTTTGTAGTTCATTTTGCAGAAGCTTTTGGTTTGCGGTTTGGACCTGCAAACCTTGAGATTGAGCTTCGATATAGGCAACGTCGTCCGCCAAGGTCTAAAGACTGTCAGAACGCAAACAATTAAGGGGGATTAAACACATGCGGGCTTACGTTTAGTTCATGTGCATATAACATCAAGAGACCATCTAGTTCATCGCACTCAGCAATTGTTTTGTCAAACAGCTTTGCGAGCTGGTCCACTTTGCCCTCCTGAAGCTCGAGGTGACCCAGCCAACTGCTTGCCTGTACCCGTCCAATCTCTCGCCGAACATCTGCTTCAAGGTCCTCAATCCGTTTGTCCTCGCTCAACTTCCCATCCCATCCGAGATCACTTAATATATCATCGAAGTATCCTCCTCTGCCTTCCAAAATACTGGGGTCGATGGCAAGAGCGGTACAATATTGTGCTGTATTATCCTTACGACGTTGGCGTCGGCGTTCTGCTTGCGACGGCGCCGTTTTTGAGGGAGCAACTCCCGGATTATCATTTGCTGAAGCAGCACTCTTGTTTGATGGCTGGGGTGGGTTGTAGGACGCAGGCTCAGAAACCTGAACCTTGGCTACTTCATGAATCCTCGGTGCTTCCTGCACGGTAGCCATTTCCTTGGGTGTCACGATTGGTTCTGCATCTTTAATTGATGACTCCGTTGAAGTAGCGGCAGTTTTAGTGGACTCATCTGTCATAGTTCTGGATAGGGGCGCCGAAATCACACCGGTAACATTATCTGGCTCAGCCCCGCTCTTCTCTTTTGCCAGTAATCTGTCTGCCGCTCCTCCGGCTCTAGGAAAAAACGCGCCGTAAGCATTAGCGGCCCTCCGAAGTGAAGAGGCCACGTCTTTTGTTTGCTTCTTCTTTACCATTGGGCCAAGGCCTGGACGATGCGTTTCTGCTTCTGCTTCGGTCGAGGACGCTGCAGTTGGCTCAGCAGGTGTAGCGGGGGTTATTGAAGATGAAAGTATTTTAGGCAAATCTAATGGTTCAGGCACGATAGGGCTCTCATCTTCCTCTAGGGGAGAGTTTCTAGCGGCCTCTATAGTATGTTTAACGGGGCCCTCCAAATCGAAATTGAGTTCAGAATCTGGGGCGGCTTGTTTGCTGGATTCGATGGGTGAAACTTTGCCACTTGGCGCAGGCGCTCTTGCCGGACGAATGCCATTTTCATTGTTAAACTTCGTTCTGTGTTGGTTGCCCATTGAAGTTGATAGCGGATTTGGCGAAGGAGCTACGCCAACGGGTGGCATTCGCGGCGCCGGGCCAGCGTGGAGTGGTGATAGGGTTGAAGGATCATTGGGAATAGTGTGTTCGACTGGCTTCAAAGGCGGCTCACCACGCAGCTCACCACGAAAGCCCCTTGGTTGAGGATGGTTAGACGGAGGAAATTGAGGACGAAGTCGCTGTCCTTCATCCTGGCCAGGGGGGTTGCTTGGGAACTGTTCCCTGGATGGCTGCCAGCCCAGCTCTCTTAGACCATCACGGCCAGGAAGGCGACCAGCTGCATATGGAGGTTGCGAGAGATTGGATTGAGTTTGCGGGGATATGGATTGCTGCCCCAAACCACCTGAACGGCCTGGGGGAGGATCACGAGGTCCCATGGGAGAATCGCGAGGTCCCATGAGAGGACCAGCTTGCTGGCCAGGAGATGCAGCGCCGGTTATAACGTCTCGATCACGAGGATCAAAACCAAGTAGTTCCGGTACCTTCCCTCCAGTATACTTCTTATATATCTTCACCAAACTTCCAATGAAGAAGTCCCTTTCCTTTGGCGAGGCAGCCTGCCAATAGTAGGGCTTCGATACGGTCACCACGAACCCAAGATTGGATGCCCACATTTTCTGCTGCTGCTCCGAGGGGTTCGATGCAGGCATGTGTTCGTAAATTTGAATACGCGTCAAATCATCCAGCATCCAAGTTTTCCCAACTGAAAATGAACCGTCGCTATTCTCCCTTGCCTTATGGAGGCGAACCCTTCCGGATTTCCTCACAGAGACTATTACTAAACGGGGTTTTTTATTTTCAGGGGGAGAGTCTGGCGGGGGAGGGCTTGAAGGATAGGCCGCATCTTCCGTAATTCGTATGTGTGTGATATAGGATTCAATAACTATCCAAGAGAGTTCATATCAGTATTGAAATGGGCATAATTGGGGTGGTAAATGATTCCGATGATAAACAGTCTGCGGGATAGGACTTGCGGGAGGCCGTGTCAATTATATAGAAGTATTAACTGCCCGAAAAATTGCTAACGATGCACCGGATATGGGATATTCAATTGAGAGCGGAACAGGACAATTTTATAAGGACCTACTGGAGCCATCTGCGTCCTGTTTGGCAAAGCAGCTCTGAATGAGCCTCCGCTTCTCATGTTCGAATTTCTCTGCTCTTGACATCCCAGCTGCTCCGGGGTTTGTGCCGCTGCCGTTGCATGCATCCACCAAGGGCCACCGTTCCTTGGGGCCGGGGCCATTGGAAGGCAGGCCCCAAGGGCGTTCGCGATCGTTCATATTCGCAGGCTCGCCCAAAAGAGACCCTTCGGGAGGCTCATCGATACACCGGGCATAGTTTAAACATTGCAAGGAGGTAAAGTAGTCCAAAATGTAGAATAAGAGAATATATGCGACGTTAAAATTAGCAGTAGTTAGATAGCCGCTGCTCAGCAGGGAGCAGTTGGTGGTTGATAGGTGATTGTTTGACCGTGGATGGTTGGTTGATATGAGGGCGCATAAATAAGAGTTAATTTAAGGAGGTTGCTTGTTGCCGTGGGAAGAGGGCGTACGTGACTTGGCAGCTCAGGCACCAAATGGTACCTGGTACTTTGAACGGTGTCTCCAGATATATACTGTCCACGGATGGCAGAAAGCACCGCCAGTTGGGAAAAAAGAGTGGAAACTGAAACGTGAATACCCAGAAAGGATAGCCAGGTGGCTATAATCTACACAGTCTTCTCTGTCCGCAGTTACAATTCCTTTTTATATATTCTTTGTTTTTCCTCTTTTGCATCGTTGTACTGGATATAGGTTCCAGATACTTAGTTGGGCTGTACTTTTGTGTATCTCCGTATGACGATATGTTATGTAATTACCACCAGCTAGTTAGTTACCAGCTGACTAGTCAATAACTGGTTAGTGAGTTAACTAACTAGTCAAGTGACTCGTAAAAATTACATAAGCCGGTACCAGCGAGCGCCATGCCTATTATGGACTAGCTCTGTTACCGTGTTTTGCCTAGCGTTTTCCGAGCCAATCGAAAGCCTGTCATTGGTGTTGGGCCCAACCTTATATTCTCGCATCTTTTTTTTTTTCCTGGTGGAATGTTTGGGTCTTGCCGTGATCTTGCGACGACAGGTTCGCGCACGCCAACAGGTCAATCCGCTCCCAAATTTAGCTATCAGGTTGAGAGTGTATTCAGACACACTGCGGGGCAGCTAAGATGGCAGTCTTCAAAGACGTGAAGAAGAAACCCTCGAAGACTGCAAAGTCAAGCGCGTCTCCCGCCTCAAACTCCACAGGCATAAAATCAACCACCGGAAAGGTAGGTCAATTCATGCAACCTCTTTTCTTGCGTTGTACATTAGTAGGCCCTCATTCTAAGAGATGCTTTGCGCAAACAGGGGAAGAATGTGAAAGATACATCTGCCTCTGAAAGACCGGCGTTGTCGCCCGCTCTCCTAGCGATGATCACCAGCTTCCTCACCGCCTATGGGTTTGACAAGACCAGCAATGTTTTCGGTGAAGAACTAAAGGAGAGCAAAATGATTAGAAAGGCGGGAAACAAGTACAGCGATTCAACAACCGCCAATAGGCCGTTGCTAGTGGAGCTTTTTGAGAATTGGAACCGTAACCTTAGAAAACAAGGTCCGGAACAAAAGGTTGTCGCAAAGCAATCCAGTGAGGAAGACAGTGATGGAAGCAATTACAGCGATTCCGATTCAAGCTCTTCTGCTTCTAGTGACTCTGATGTCTCCATGGAGGATGCATCTTCGTCTTCAACCTCTTCCTCGTCGTCTTCAGATGATGATAGCAGTGATGAGGAGGAGGAGGAGGGGGAGAAAGGGCAGGAGGACAACAAGGCAACTGCTCCCAAATCAAAAACACTAAAGCGCAAACAGGATGACGCATCAAGTTCTTCATCTTCGGGTTCTGACTCGGATGAGGGCCGTCCTCCGGCAAAGCGGACAAAGCTGCCGACTAACGGGAAAGGGAAATTAAAGTCAAACGCATCAGATAAATCGTCCAGTTCAGATTCATCCTCGGAGTCCACGTCAGAATCATCCTCTGGCTCCTCCTCAGACTCCGATTCCGATTCCGATTCCGACTCTTCATCTGTGTCTGACAAGAAGAAGTCGAAAAAGAAGTCAATTCCAAAATCAGCTACCGCCGCTGACGTTGCCGCGATTGCGGCCAAAATCCCGCTTCCCGAGTCCGAAGAGAGCGATTCAGCCAACTCTTCGTCATCCTCATCATCATCATTCTCCTCTTCAGGTTCATCCGATGGTGAGGATATGAGTGCGGACCGCAAGCCCTCGGCCGATTCAAGTGCGACGCTTGGCGGCAACTCCTCATCCAGCGATTCCTCTGACTTCTCCTCCTCGTCCAGCTCGTCATCTTCCAAATCTTCCGTAGGCAAGAAAAAACCCAAGGAAGCCAAGAAACAGACAAATTCCAATGCCAAATCCAAATCCAAATTCTCCAGCCCCAGCGCCCTCAAGAATCCCCCCTCCAGTACCTCCACATCCAATGCAAAGTCAACGCCCCTCTCTACCCCAGCAGTATCTACCCCCCCAGTTAAACATTCAGGTGCTAAACCCACTCCATTGGCACTAGCCAGCATGAAACCTCACGATCACCATCCCTCTAACGCATATGTCCCGTATGCATATGCTGAACGAGCACATAAGGACCTCTCGGTCACTCGAGGCAAGGGGTTCACAAAGGAGAAGAACAAGAAGAAGCGCGGTTCTTACCGTGGTGGACCTATCGACATTGGTCCAGGGAAGTCCTTTAAGTTTGAAGATTAGAGTCACGATCAGATTAAATCCTTGATTTGCCAGCGGGCACATAAAATATTCTTCATGTCTCACACCTAAGATCAACATTACCCCATTTGTCAGTTGCTAGCTCCTATTTAAATCTTACGTTGCTTACCGGTTCAATGTCTTCTCCTTTTAAAATAAATAAATTAATTTAAATGAAATAAAGTAAATAAAGAGAATAACAATAATAACAATAATTCCTCGCCATACATACCTTAATTTTGGAAAGATTTAATGCGTGAATTGGCCAACTTATGTTGTTTTAGAAAATGCAATATAATTCTCTTGTTAAATCTGCAGTGTCACCCAGCTATGCTTTTAATGACACAACTAAGAGAGTTTGATTAACCTTCAGCACCCTCATCCTGTTGCTGTTGTTTCCTTACAGTATATCCTATTGATATTTTCCAAATTCCTTGATATAAAATAGATTATGTGCTGTGACTTCTTTATGGATAATGGTAAAAGTGCCTGCAGGGAAATTCAAGGGACGGAAAACACCAATCCATACTCTAGCAACCAACAGTAGAGGAAGGGTAGTAATCAGCGTATTTCAAAGAGAAGAAGATATAACCCAGAGGCAAATGAAAAAAGATCCAACACCGCAACACCTAAATGTTATAAAAACCAACTCCTAACCTACTCACTCATCCCCGCGTTCGTGCGTCTATTATCCCGCGTCCACCTCCCCCGTATCTTCTTCTTCCCCTTAATCAGCGGCTGCCACCACCGCTGATCCCAGCCCCAAACCCTCCCCTCATCAAACATATCACTCTCCCCCTCCCCATTTCCCACTGCCTTATAAAACGGACGTTGCATCATCAGTCTAACCCCTTTACACATATCCTCTGGCAAGGGTCGCTCATAACATGACAGATCAAAGGGCCGTAACGTAGCGTCATGTACCAGCGGGTAATTTAACCCTAGGCCTGGACCCGGACCGACACTTGTATCCGCACTTGCGGCGGCTTCAAGGTCAAGGCCAAGGCCAAGATTCTGCTCGTACCATTTCCGATGCCGTCCGGTTATGTCATCTGTCGAGGCGAAGTCGAGCCGGATGACGTTCGCTTCCACGCCCACGTAGAGAGTCGATGAGGACGGGGAGGGTAGAGACATGGTGTATATGGGACCTCGGTAGCGGAGGCTGTCGCGCAGCAATGGTGCGCGGCTTAAAGGGTGAGAAGGAGCCCGGCTGGAGAGGAAAACGGAAATATCGCGACGTCTGTACGTAAGGGGGTCTTTCAGACCTGAGTCTACGGGGGTGATTAATGAGTTTTGCTGGTGAAGGTTGTTGTGGCTGTTCTTTCCATGCAATTGATGGTTGTGATGTTGGTGGCGCTGCAGGGGGGGTTGTATGGGACTACGACATGCCTCGAGATAGGAATATTTGTTAGCCATGCGCATGTCGAAAAATTTGACGGTTGCGTTGACACCACTGCCGACGAGGAAGCATTCGCGGCCTATTGGTTGGATGGTGTATATCGGACTGTTGTCCACCGTATCTATGAACGAGGATACGTATGGTTTGGAGGAGCGCAGATCATGGAGCCTGTAACCAAATTTTCAGCAAAAGTAAGGAGATCTGAACAGAAACGATGAGCCCATTTCGGGAAGCAGTCCGTTTTCCACCCTGGGAGGAAATGCGCATACCGGACTTGGCTATCTCCCCACCCTGCAAGGAAAAGATCACCTGCCCTTCCTCCAGTATGTGAAGTCACTAGCAGCGGTTCAATTGTATGCACTTGAGACTTCGTTGTTAAACAACTGTCATATAAGCCATCCATGTTGATCTCACGAGTTTTGGTAGCTCCTGTGGTTGTTAGGTTGAAGACAGATATGTTATTAATGACACCGTCAGATCCAACGGCGATGCGGTCATCGCACAAAAGCCGCGAGCAATGATGTCTTGCAAACTCATTCGCAGGGTTCTTAAGTTCATCCAAGGGTTTTACTTCATCTTCTTCAGCATCAACACTAAAGAACAAAATCGAACGTCTTACCAAAGTGGCGGCCAGCACTCTCTGAGAACCTGTGCTAAGATCTGTCTTCTCAAGATTGTTGGAGTTTCCTGTAACATAACGCTTCTTCAGTTCACAGCGCCCGGTTCTAGGTGAAATAGACATCCGAACGAGGCTCCCATTACGCCGCCCAAATATGATATCTTCGTTTCCTATGCCGGATGGTCCGTCCGCTGAAGGTAAAGCATGGACTCCAGAAATATCATCCCAGCTATTTACCCCATGAAGGTTATTAAAAACGGCCCACGTAACTCCTTCATAAGGCTGTCCAACACTGTGACCCCGTCCCGCAAAACCGGTATGAGTGTCCCTTGCACGGCTTTTCCCGTAGAGACTCAAATCCGTAACGCGGATATTTAAATCTGCACCAGCACCCCAGACGAGGACTTCTTTTCTATCATTCCAACTGCTGCCACACCATACTTCATAGCTATCAATCACCGGCCTGTATCCTAGAGTGGGATGGTCAGTCCTGACTGTCCTTGGATGGCCGATTCGCCTGGCATTTTGAGGGGGGAGCACGAAACGACCAATGATGGCTTTGCGTTCAAATGCTCTCGACCGCGAGGTCAGGGCGCGAGCAGCGTCGACCCAGAAGGGCGGGGTGTCAATGGATGCAAAACGGCTTTGCACGAAGGCCTGAAAGACGCGATAATCGTTTGCAGAGATCAGCTCATGCAGGCGCCGACAGGTTTGGCTCAGGTTCTTTACGCAGCTGGCTGTAGGCAGAAAACTGACAATATGGTAGATGATATCCGCTGGTATGTCAGGTAACATTCCCAGGCCTAAGTGGAGAAGAATTTTAATGTAATATGTATTTTTTCTCGGTGTGAGGGAGATCAAGAGCCAGCAAATTTATGGATGCTTCTGGCTCTTTATATGTTTTGGATAAATTCAAAATAGTAATCGCCCGAACGTTGTTTGTTTGGGCTTGACATGTTCAAGGCTAAAATTTCAGGCGACAAAAGTGAGGTTTAACTAACGTCATCGGGTCGGGCGACGCGCTTCCCCACGTGATAACCAAATAACTAATTATCAAGATTCCGCGCGGATTAGATAATCTGATAGTCAGCTTCGGCAATCAAATCCCAACGCATGAGACAAAGCCGGCAATGAAGTAATAACCGTAATATCCTGGGTTTTTATACAACAGGAGATGTTGGCCAGGAATCTTTTGATATATGCCCCAGAGGAACGGATAAAGTACACCATATTTTTAAATAATGGGCTTTTCTACCGGGGTCCAATGACAATACCTTATAGCCGTTTCCAACGAAGTCCTCATTCCACAAATGATTTCCACGGTATTCCTTTCGCCGGCAGTACTTGTCATTGCCATCTCACTTCTCTGCTTGTACAGGTTCTTTTTATATCCTGCCTTTCTGTCGCCGCTCTCTAAAATACCAAATGCCCATTTCTCTTCTCCCTTCTCCCCCGCATGGATACTGTGGAATCGCTTCAGGATGCGGGGGAATAGAACTATACATGACGCACATCAAAAATACGGCCCCATTGTCCGATTGGGCCCTTCAGAGATATCCATAAACTGCGTAGACAATGGCATTCGAACCGTCTATGCTGGTGGATTTGAGAAACATGACTGGTATCCTCGTGTGTTTGGTGCTTATGGGTAGGTATACAGCATAGCTTACACATCGAAGTCGTGGGGGTAGTTAGCGCTTGGGCGTGTCTGTCGTGCTAACTCGCGTTGAAGGACCATTAGCATGTTTTCGATGGTAGGAAGCAAAGCCCATTCAACACGTAAACGGATGATGTCAAATATATACTCTAAATCCTATCTGCAAGCGTCCCCTCATATAGCTACCATATCCCGAGAAGTCATCCTCCGGCGACTGTTGCCCATACTGCAGCAGAATGCGATGTCTCAGTCCGACGTTGAAGTCCATGAGCTGAACAACGCAATAACGATGGACTTCGTTTGCGCTTATATCTTTGGCCTAAAATCTGGCACAAATTTCTTGGAGGATGTTGCTGCTGCGAGGGAATGGCTCCGGGTTTATCAATCACGCAAACCCTTTGAGTTTTACCATCAGGAAGTTCCCAATATAACTGCTTTGGCCAAAATTTTGAAGATCCCCTTAATTCCCAAATGGTGCGACAAGGCAAACCGGGAAATGGAAGCCTGGGGTTTGGTGATGTGCGATAATGCAGAAAAGTTCCTTTCATCGACGGACCCCGCCTGCGAACCGGTTGTATACAAACAGATAAAGCAAGCAATGCTAAAAAAGCTTCCTGAGGCCGACCATGAGGCGATGAAGGGAATATTGGAACAGCAGCGCCTTGAGATAGCCTGTGAGATGTATGACCATCTCACCGCCGGCCATGAAACCAGTGCAGTTGCCCTCACATATCTGTACTGGGAACTCTCAAGACACCCGGAATTACAAACAGAACTTCGCCAGGAATTGGAAACCCTTTCACCAAGGATATCAGCCCCCTTGGGTGCTGAGCCTCCCACTGAACTACCTCATCCAAAATCCATCGATGCATTGCCGCTCTTGAATGCCATCGTTTTGGAGACACTACGGCTTCACTCTCCAATACCAGGTGGACAACCTCGAATAACACCAGCAACACCTACATCGCTAGCAGGATACCATAATATCCCACCAAACATTCGAGTAAACGCACAAGCATATTCGCTGCATTTGAATCCCGACGTTTTCCCTGCCCCAGCATCATTCGTCCCCCGCCGATGGTTCAAAGCAGAAGATTCGGCTGACCTGGAGGTTATGGGGCGATGGTTTTGGGCATTCGGGAGTGGAGGACGAATGTGTGTTGGTAGCAACTTGGCCCTCCAGGGTAAGATGCGGAATCTTTCCTGTTTTCCTTCCCCGTTCATTGAGTGAGCCCCTTGAAAACCGTCCAATCAGACGTGTGAGGCCGTGACAACTGATCAAGGGAAACAAAACCTCCTTCCGGACCAAAACAGAAATTAAACTCGTGGCGGCCATAATCTATTCGAATTTCACCACCAAAATCGTTGACGACGAGGGAATCGAGGCTATCGATGCGTACACCGTCCGACCAACTAGCAACAAGTTAGTTTTGAAGTTCGAAGCTGTACCACACTAGGAAGTTCTCTCGACGTCATAAGCCGCCGTCCGTCCCTCACTCCCGACCCTTTTATATGTTGAGAGGGCACGAAATTCAGGATTTCGATAACATCTTCAAAGCACCAGGATTATTCCTGCGGGTTTGGTTTGTGCACCCTTGCCCCTCCAACTGTTTTAAGTTTCCCTCCGAGCACGACATTCAGCCTGAATTTTTACCCTGTAAAATAGCGTATTTTTATTGGGAACAGAACATAAATCACAACCTTTTAAATTTGAAATATACACAGGCGAGGAATAGCACCTAACTCCTTTCTTTCTTTGTGTGGGGTCACATGGCGGATGTCCGTTTTATAAGAGATGCATCAGGCGAAAATATCCCAAACTCCAGCTCTTTTGTAGCGCCGTGCATGAGACAACAGCGACTGTCACCGTCCACTTTCGTGAGTCATCCGTGACAAGTCAACGGATATAGTCATTATCACAGAATCCCAGACACCAACCTCATCAACGTCTTCATTTTCGTTTAAGAAAAACCGAAGAAAGCTCTACACAGAATCTATAGAACCGATATATGCTGAAATATGAAAAGGTAAAAATAGAATATCCCGCATCGAAAGCAGGACAGAAATAAGAGATGAATCAAACAAAGATAATGTCTCCTTAATGAAACACCCCCTCCTTCTTTCTCGGTCCTGATATTTTCGGAAACATTCGCATAAGATGGTAATTGATCGTGCTCTTGCCTGCTCGTTGTGATTTCTATACAACAATATCGAGTTAGTTGACATGGCTTCTGGGCAGTGAAGAAGAAACGTGCACTTTGCAGCACAATTGACAAACGGGAAAAGACGGATCGCACGCACATTTGTATCCATACAAGCTTTTAGTTGTTGCTCCAGCGAGAAACACCCACCGCTACCCGATCGGCTCGAGGCCCAGCAACCTATAAGATACAACAGAAGAAATTCATTAGCAAACATTATTCATGCAAGCTCTTCTTCCACGCTTGTACTGTGAATTTTTTTTTTTTTTTTTTTTTTGTTGAGAGAACTGTAGCGGTATATATATATATATATAAAAGAGGTGGCAATGCCACGAGCAGAGACTGCGGAAAGGGAAACAGGAGACTGACTTAACACACTCGTCATGACTGCAAGACACGGGTTCGCTTGGTGAGTATTCGGACTTTTCACTCGTAGCTTTTGTATTGTCTGGAGGCGTAATGGCTTCATGCGCGTTGGGGCTCCCTTTTTAGGCATGGTTGGTGAGACGAGAAGCCTGGGGACGTAGGTAAGAGGCCAAGAAGACCGTCTTCTTTGGTTAGATGCAAATTTGCAAAAGTCCTTGAGGAGTTGAAGCGCGGCGGTTGAAAGCTATGGCAGATGTATTGCGAATCGTTTGCGTTTTTATGCCCTTGAAGCAACGAATCGGTTGGTCGAAACGGATCAGAGCCGCCTTTTCTGATATCGCTGATGCCAAGACCGAACCTTCCGCAGAGTGGGGGTTGGAAGAAACGAGCAAAACGCCCAACACAACAGCAAACGACCAGTTATTTAGGCCATATATAAGTTGGAAGCAGGTCAACAGCGTTGGTCAATGGTCTGAATTTACCTACGCCCACATTACGCAGCTTTATGGGACTTTACTTCAGCATGTAGAACGTCCACTGCACAGAGCAACGCTATCCTGACTAGTTACTAGGCGTTGACGATCATTTGGGTTGGTACAAACTGGAATGGAAAGATTGTAGAGATGACAGGTGCGAAAAGTGTATATATTGATACATGAATTGCTTGGTCTTCATAAGGCTTGACCTAGAATTCAACAATTGACAGGTTACATCTAGAAAAATGGGAACAATTTTCCATGGGACAAGCCACCTCAAATAACAAACTACCACCTCGTGGTTGCTTCGCGCAGGTGTTGAAATTCGATCTCAATTCTAATGCGATCAATACCTCCACCTTCCCAGGCTTGGGCATTCATATAGAGGGAGATTGTGAGGAGGTCTTGTTCACTCAATTGTCGACTTGTTTGAGAGCCTTGCTTGTTCAGGTGCTGCGCGCATGAACGAACCTCCGTCCTAGAAATATTTGGTGTTCTGCAGCAGACCCGTGTTTTCTGATAAGGAAACAGGGAGCAAACATTGTGTTAAGGCATCAACAAGCTTCACCTCAACACTTCTTGATATGCCTGGTTGAATCTTCATTACGCCATATTCTCTGTCTCCAATGTAGCTGCTATCCGAATAAGTGATTGAAATATTAAAATCTATTTTACACACCTGTTTTTGCGTCATCAGAAATATTTAGTTACAATATGTCTGAAAATAAAGATTATTGTACTTATTTTTTAAATGTATTTGCTAAATGCGGTTAACTATTTTGATCATTTATTTCTGCTATAGGTTAGTTAATTATTACAAGATTTAATAGATGTTTTATTAAATTTTTACCTGTGAAATCAATATTATGCTTAAAGATATTCAGACAAGATGTAAGAGCAGTTGAGCTTAAGAATAATATATATCTATAAGACTATTGATATATTTATACCCTATTATATATATCAGATTGCTTGAGACTGCAACAAGTCTGAATTTCCCATAGTAAACGTAATTCAAGTCATGGATCACATTATCAGCATATGTAAAATCTTCATTGTTATAGAATAGACGATTAGAAACTAATAGATTTAAGATGAGTAATAGTCAAGGTACATACAACTTTCACCATTACAGTTCATATAGAATATTGATGATGCCTCTGAAATCTTCAGAGAGGTTGTCGTCGGATCTGCTCGCCTCGTAAATCCTCTGGGCACTGGTATCATACGCATGGGAGAGTCCAGAAACTGTGGGTTGATTCCTTCCTCTAACAGATACGTCTATATCACGTGCGAGGGGGCGGCTACCCCGGGCAAACCATTGCCCAACAGTTTCTAGGTAGTTTTATTTAAATAGGCGCGCGGGTATGCAGATTTGGGGGTCCATCAACTCCGTAGTTGCGGCGACTCGCCACCAAACTAATTACAATTCGGAACGATGAGAAGACTATATTCTTATCTGAACTGCACGGAGGAATGGAATAATGAGGTGTCAGCAGCGGCTTATTACCTCCCACATATGTGCTGCGTGCACTCGGACCCAACGACTAAGGACTCCTCTGGCTCATGACTCCTGTGTCATCCCAACAAGGCACTTCTTCAGCCTGCCCAGAGCCCACTCGCAACATGAACATGCTCCAAACGACACAGGGACCGGGCAAGAAAAGCAAAATGGAACTCCTAGTTCAGCGGAAGAGGGCGCCATGTCCAGAAGATTATCTGAAATGGCCGACGAAGCAATGCTAGAAGGTGGTAAATCTGTACGCAAGAACTTGCAAGAAGCAAGCTTCTCGGAAGACTTGAAGAAAAAACTGGAAGAAAGGATCGCAGAAAGCACTTTTCGAAGTGAGAACGCTGCAGCATTTTCTCTTGCGAATTTGCCGGTATGAAATCCAATATATATATATATATATATATATATATATCAATTGATGCTTTTTGGTTGAAAGATACAGTTCTGTGGCCTCTTACCTGCACCAGGTACTAAAATGGTTAACAAATAACTCCCTCAGGCCAATGCCAGTAGAGGAACCCAAGATATTGCCGCCGCAACTCCATGGACGGGGACCGAATCCATTCACGACGTCTCTCTCCGTATGCTAAACGATGCAAGCAAGCCAATGCGCGTCCCCTTTAGACCACCCCAACCCGGTCCAAAGAACCTACAGCCCACTCTCAGAAATTCCCGGTCACAGTCACCAGCTGAACGACTGGCGGCTGCCCGTGATGGCACGTCAACTTATGCCCAAAGCCAAAATGCCAACATGTCCGATCAGGAACGCGAAGCTATTCGCAGAGAGCTGCAGGAGCGATTTATGCCTGTGGCTCGTGCAATTACGCCGCAGGGACTCAGCTCGCTTGCCAACGAGCGAATCGAAGACGCTATTGCCCGCGGCCAGTTTAGGAATATCAAGCGCGGCAAGGGTATTAATATCGAGCGTGATCATAATGCTAGCAGCCCATATATCGACACGACGGAATATCTGCTGAATAAGATAATTCAGAAACAGGACATCACGCCGCCTTGGATTGAGAAGCAGCAGGAATTGGCGAAGGAGATCGAGCGGTTTCGGAGACGGCTACGTAGTGACTGGAGGGGGCATGCTGCACGATTGATTGTAAGCCATGGTGGCTCCCTGGATGCTCAGATGCGGCGAGCGAGAGCTTATGCTGTTGCGGAATCACGATTGGGCAATACTGGCATGAACGGAAGTGAAGGTGATGATGCATCTTCTTCTAAGGTCTTGGGCACCGAAATCGAGTACATGTCTCAAATTAGTCTGGACGGGAGATTATGTGGTACTCCTTACTCGCAATCTCGACCCAAATCAGCCCAAGAATTATCCCATCCCAGAAATGCAACGCCGGTAGAAACCGTGACAAAAGATCCCCAACCCAAACCTAATGACTCCATCAATACTCATTCAGAACCTCTCCCAAGTGTCGCGCCGCTCCGGGATCCTGAATATCTAAAAACCGAACGACAATACCATGAACTAACAATCAAAAATATCAATTCTCTCATCAGATCCTATAACCTCATGGCTCCCGCAGTCGCCCAAAAGCCGTACCTGAAACTCGAGCGGGAATTACTCTCCTGTTACGCTGACGTCGCGCCCACTCTTTCCGCCGAGGTACGACGGAGAGCAACGGAGAGGTCTCACGATTCTATACATAAAATCCCTGAAAAGGGAAGTGAAGGTGGCTTCCTCAATATGCTAACCTCAAAGAAAAATTTACGCCTTCATGAGGAGGATCCCTCCAAGCGGTACGGATTTAAGCAGTTCTGGCGGGATCTGTGGAATCGGAATAATACAGCAGCCAGCTAAGCTCTCACATGGATGATGTATTCACTCAAAAGAGGTAACCTGTGAAGAAATTTATAAAGCATGATAGATGTAATTTTAGGACTGTACATAATAGGGAAGTGAATTTCCAGTGCAATCTCCAATGCAGGACGGACGTCTTCTATAACGAATCATGAGCGATGATATCATTGGCCATTCCTCTGTCGTCTCTCTGTCTGTCGAGGTGATGTCGAGAAAGCAACAGATAAAAATGATATATATGTGGTGATCAAGGAAGGTAAAGTGAAGAATGATATCTATTGCTGCCGGACTCGGCTCTTAGGCGAAATTTGTAATGAAATTCGAGGTGCTACTGTCTTTTAGGGACCCCAAATGGTGAGCTTAGAGAAGGTACATGTGGTAAGGCTGGCTAAAGATCATCTGCTCCAAACGTCCCGGGGCTCATGCCGAACGGAAAATGTTTAAATCCCTTAAACTATCTCCTGGTTTTCGTCATTGTGTCACGAGAAATAATAGGATCGACTCAAAAATGACGCTTTTTAGAACCTTCGACTGTATGGTGCCGATGGTGAGATGACTTCAGGGTCGCGATCACAAGAGGAGAGTTATTACTTGCTCATCTGTATAGTCCGGGGGCGGAGGGAAAATGGCCAGGTCCATTTTGCCCATATATTGCTCTCCATTCTCAGGGTCATGGTTCGATCTAAAGAACTTCCACCACAGACGGAACACTGAGTAGGCTGAGTTCAGAATTAAAGCCATTGACACTGCAGCATATACGGCAAAAGCGTCCAGTCCGTCAGGATCATCGGGAGTAAAAGCACCAAACTCGGATGGGTCAGACGAAGGTTCAGAAGGGCGAAGAGAATCCATGACAAGTCGATGATCGAACCCGTAAGCTACGAGGACACCGGATACTAGGAAAACAGAACCCAACAAAGCACGGACATAAGTTGTTTCTCTCCTGTTCCGTGGAGAATCGTCCAACGATCTTGTATCACGACCCACGGGTCGAATAGGCAAAGATGACGACGTATCATCAACAACAACAACATCATCATCATCATCATCATCAATGCACGACGAGATATCACTGGGAGCAAGGTGCAGAGCAATCGGCACCATAAGTAGGGGGATGGCAAAAATTTGCATCACAACCCAGCACACCAAGAGCATTTTAGTATCTGCGAACGTGCGCAAAGAAGCCAACCACCCGAACTCAGGGCTCGCCATCGCGGAGAGAGATCGGGGTTTCAAAGCCGTTGAGAAGAGAGCACGAAGGGGGATGATGAATGGACGCCATGGAATCTTAGGGTAGTCGTTTTTGGGCCAAGCAGCCTGTGCCATGTCTGAATCGCCAAAAGGGAGGCGCGATACCACCTCTAAATCGCCAACCCAAATTTCGTTTACAGCGTTCCCTGGCTCGAAGAAGTTAGAAGAGCGGACTCCTGTTACTGCAGAAACTTTGTTTCCCATCTTGGAAAGGAGATAAGAGGATGTTTCGAGGAGAAGAACAAAAGGAGTAAATGTAAATCAAGAAGCGTCGGCGTCTGTTTAACTATAGAGAGGGGAGCGAATGTAGAAGTAAACCGTCCATGCCAGTGTGCCGGGGGAAAAAGCTCCTCCCCGCAGGCAAGAGGTTAAAAAATCATTACTCTGTCGGACGTTGAAGATGCAGAACTTGATCATCCCCATGGAAAATACCAAACAGCAGAAGTCGAAGCTGTCAGGATGTCGTAGCCAGTCGTAGCCAGCCCTCCCTTGCGGAAGGCATCATTCAGGACCGCGGGCGTGCAGAGCAGGTCCCAGCCGACCCAGAAGCAGCAGGCAGGGACTGTAATGTATTCAGAGCACTTTTTGCGAGACAGAAGGAAGAGAGAGAGATAGAGAGAGTGTGTGAGTGAGTGAGTGAGAGAGAGTGAGAGTGAGGAAAGTCGCCGGGTTGGGCAATCCTCCCCCTGTGAGATAGACAACAATGCCTGTTACTGCCCTGGTGGCGGTGCGACTTGTATGTCCCGGTGTGCTCGATCTGGAGCAGTTTCCAGCATGCAGCTATTCGACGCCCGTGGCGCTGAGTCGCCAACTGACATCTCCCCCCTGATCAACGGTGGAGTTCAAAAAATGTGCAGGACAAAGTAGCATACCACCAGACTTGCCGGCAGATCTACCTACAGGTACTTCTCCGTCCTTGAGCGCCGTCGGAGGGTGTTTGCAAGCACACGGCCCAAGCAGCTTGAAGCTGGACAAACATATAGTTTCCCTGTCTCTGGACGGTTCGAGGGGTATGAATAGCCGAAATGGAGTAAAAGGAGAGAGGAGATGAGATGTATTGGATGTAACATGATGTTTGTAGCACCGCACAGCCCACTCTCCCTTGTCCGGGCAGGAGAGTCACAATCAAGCATCAAGTCGAGCCAACGTCAAGCTGCATCTAACTTCGGTCAAACAGTAAAGAGGTTGGTTCTTCCTCATGGGCTGTCCATTAGATCGAGACCATCACAGGTCTCTTACCCTACTGAAACGAATCATTAATAGGCATTTCTGTTCAACCGGGATAGTCCCTCGCACTGCCGTTCTTCTGTGGAACGGCATGGTGTGAAAATACCGAGGAACAACAAACGAAAGTGTTGAGTTACATAAACGGAGAGTCACGGAGAGTCGAGAGGGACAGGTGGTAACTCTATCACCGATATCACAAGTATATCGGGTCGTCTCCCATCAATGAGTTCTCTAATTTGTCGTCGCACTGGTCGACAACTGAGTGTACAAAGGCTGTGGTGAGTTTGGACAACACAGCAATGGTAGCATCATTGACATGACGGAAGCTATCAATCCAACCAACAGAAAGTGTACAGAGAAGGACGGACGAGTAGCTACTCCATATATATATGTATATAACTATATGCCAAGGGGAGGAAATTTTGAGGGTTTCTCTTGACTCCTGCTCCATACATACGGAGTCACTCCTCCGTAACTAGATAAATATTCGAAGATCTTTTTTGAACCCGTCCCTGGCTTCACAAGAAGCGGCGCAAAAAACGCATCATCCAGCATCACAATGCTGTGGAATCCAGCCATTCTATTAATAAGTTTTGAGCACCGGTAACTCTCTCGGACATCTCAGACAACAGCCCGTGAAATGTGACTGATGTGATGGCCGAAATTCTGGTGTGATCGCCATGGCTTTCATGCAGCAAGACGAGGAGCTAAGGACCTTTCAACCTATGAGGAATCGTTCCTCGTTTTGGTGGCTTCTCTGGTTTCCTGTCCAATCATGCGTCCGAAATCACATCCATCGAAGGGGTCGCGCCGGTCAGCGCAGACCGGGGATCTGGGATTTGTGCAGCGGTCTCGCCAGCGACTGGCTACAGCCAACTTGATCAAATATGGATCTCCTCCTTGGCCCCGGCGCTTAACCGCAGCAAATCAGTCTTTGCTGCTGGAGAACCCCTCTTCCTTGGGCATCCAATTTACGTAAATGGCCAACCACATCAATCTCTGATGGTTGTCGAAAAACCTGCCAGCCAATGCGAGTCGGGCGGTTAACTCCCTTGACCTGAAGAACCCAACAATCAGAGAAAAATGAAGGGAGTTCAATGCAGTGGCTCCTGTTATCCGGGAATTAGCCCGTGACCTTGAGGTCGGCCTCCTATCAGGTCCATCATGCTGCTCTTTTACCCTTTTAACATGCTGCAACGATGGATTTGAGAAAGTTCGATGTCGATCACATCACCCAACCGCTGTGCTTGTATGCTTTCTGATTCAATTCCTCAAGTGAGAACGCAGGTTTTAGACCTGCTCTTTCTCGCATGGATATTATATCTCGCATGACCCCACCACCACAGTGGTAAATGCAACTTTCTTTTGTTACAGAGCTGTGAAGGGAATCCTGGATTGTTTGTGATTTTGATTGCTAGTAATATGTCGGATGCAGTATAACAACGGGAGACTGCGACATGTCCGCTTCACACTCGACATATTTCCCCGTCATTTCTTGCTTTCTGCTACTTCTGATCCAGGTGAGCCTCGTTCATACCGCCTCGATTCGGGCTATCAATATCTTCAACGGCCCTGCCCCTGCTCCCGAGGAACAACCTCCATTTTCGGCTTCTGCAAACCGCGACCTTAACCTGCTCTGGCGAGATATTGTCGCCATAGTAGGTGCATACGTGGGCACGGTGGTCGTATTCCTAGGGTGTCTTCTGACGACCGGGAGAAGACTGCGTCGAAGCGCACAGCAATCCAACAGGACGCTTGACATGGAAATGGTCAAGCCGCAAAGACCAGCACTCGATACCACAATAAGTCCAGTATCGCCCAACAGATTTTCTCCAACCCCAGAGAGCGGAACAGAGAGTCAACTTTGGCCAAGCCAAAAGAAAGGGAAACCCACCTTCAGCATGCCTTGGTCTACCACACCCCGGAGCCCAACCTCCCCTGTCTCTCAGAATGGAAGTATGGCCACCTTCGACGAGACCGTAGTCCAGGCAGACCGAGTAAGAGCACAGGATGAGATGGAGCGGCTCTACGCTGCTGTCATGGAGCATGATGCAAAGCAGTCTCGTGCTGTGAATGATGCAAACGAAGACGGAATTGTTTCGTCCGTGCATCAGCCCTCGTCATCATCCCCCGAGCCTTTCGAAGGCCCCCCAGAGTTTCGACATCTCAGACATAACGGACGACCATCACAACCACAACAGCCTCGAGTGAAACAGCAGCCCACGTTCCCACCACCGAGAGATCCTTCAGCGATACAGCAGCAGCAGATGCTGCCAACGTCGCCCCTTTCTCCAATAACTCAAAGATTATCGAGACTTTCCAACCTCTCTTTCCTCAGTTCCCGATCCCGCGAAGGTTCGAGCGGTAGAAAATCCCGTCGAACGTCAGTGCGAAATCTTCCAATTTCACCCCCCATGGGTTCTCCTGATCTTACAGCGAACAACTATTCCGAAAGCCTACCATTGTCACCACGCATATATACCCCGGGACCTCCCCCACCCAATCCAAACCAAAAATCTCTTGAACCTCCCCACAGGAATTTTCCCACTCCTCTCCACATCCGATCCGGTAGCAGCAACTCTACATTGCCGTTCCGCTCATTCGCATCACCTGCCAGCGCTGCGCCAACGAAAACTACTTTTGTCGAACGTCGTGAGAGTATGTTGAGAGCAGGGGGCCCTCGGACCGGTATCCCGCAAACGCCATATTCCCCTTACATGCCCTTCACCCCAATCACCCCCTTTACACCGAGCCACATAGTTACGAGGAGAGAATGGAGGCAACAAAAGAAGGAGAATGGACTACGAGTACAGCAAGAAGAAGACCTTGTGATGAGCGATGAGGATATTTGGGGAACATAGGTGTAGAGAACGCCTCAATCCATCCATGTATTGTTACAACTGGGTGGTTGTTTTCACCCCCCACCTCTACTCCCATATCACTTCTCTCTCTCAAACTCGCTGGTTTCTTTAATAATGTTGATAAGTCTCCAGGAGGGACTTGTCCTTAAGTATCTTTACTATATTGACAGCGAACCTCACCTCCGTTGCAATTTCGGTAGATATCCAGGCAGTTAATTTTATATTTATCTTGTTCCATTTATTTCCTATTTCATTGCTTTCTCCATGGGGCTGATTCATTCCACCCTTTTGTCTGATATCATCCTTTGTATACTTAACTAGTTACTCTCGCAGTTTCGGCGGTGGGCGTCCCAAAGACAGAAATATCAGTACAACAGATCGGCGACGCAGTAAATATCCAAGCTATTCCCCTTGTCCGTAAGTTCTTGCTCAATTAGCGCGGTTTCAATTAGCGTATATTATACAGTTTCTCATTGAATCATCAAGGTAACTTTGGTGTAAGCGTGTATTAATATAGTTTATAAAGCTCTAATTGAGGATTTGGGTTGTTGTCAACTACTAGATTGGGTGATCTCATGGAATTCCTCCCAACATCGAGTTCTCAAACAGAGAGACATATTTTGACATGCTGAGCAACCAGAATATGATCTTGGTGTCTGTTTATGTTGTTGCCGACCTAGCTTTCGTTTATACTGACACCAGACACAAACTGATTGCTTTGGTAAAGCAATCCGTTGATGATTTAGAGCAGGATTCGATCATTGAGGTGGAAGGTAGTCATGGATCTTAGGTGTGAATTCAAAAATTTGTTGGTAAAGCCGCTCATGAATGCTTATATGAGAAGGCAAGGTCCTACCCTGCTGCTTCTTATATATATTGAAGCCTATAGGCATTAACTGCTACAGAGTCAATAAGCCAGTAGAAAATAGGGAGCCAGGTTCGATAGGTGATTCTATGGCTGGTATATGCTGTGCAGTACTGATTTGCTAGGTCCACCCCATTCATATTTTGATTGTAATCATCTATAATAGCAGGTATTTTCAATATCTTTTGTGGCTGACCTTCAAAGATCTTCCATACAATTTTAGTATTTGTTGAGAGCTATTCAAACTACTTTCAAGTACACTCAATTAGAGATATTCAATGAATGAATTGTAGTCAGTGCTAAATTATATTATTATCTTGCCAGGCAAGACAGAGAATGTTCTCATTCTCAATGACATGCAGAGTATTCAATGGAATAGCTGCTGTATGCTTTCTAAGTTCAGATAGAAGAGATGGAGTCTGATTTGATCAAGTAGTTCCACAAAACACCACATCCCTTCTCCCATAGAAATTTGAATAAAGCAATGGAGGTAAAGTAGTTGTCAGGATAAACTGAGTAAGAAGTTACTTGCTGAATGACAGGAATTTCATTGCTTATGGAGGATTTGACGGCGGGCTCAGCAGGCAGCTCTGTGGGTGATTTGATGAAGGATTTGATGACTGACTCGGTAGAGTGGTCAATAAAGAGACTCATTGCTTGCTATTTCTTAGGGATTTTTGTATGACCTGGAGAATAAATTAATTAGCTGGCCCATAAGATTTAATTTTATATGGAGTATTACCACTAGGTTTGGTAGATTTTTTGGTGGATTTCATGGTTGGAGAGAAGGAACCAGGAGGCATTGACAGCTTCAAAACACGTTGAATTCCATACGCGTCTGTTCAGCTCAATCTAAATGACCAATTATCATCCATAAAAACTTAGATGGGATCTTATTGGTTACTGAATGGCGCCGGTGCGAAATCCCATACACTAATTGAAACCATGCTAATTGAGCAAGAACTTACGGACGAGGGGGTTGTATATACGGTCAATGGATATATATCCTCAATTCGCCAGCAACATAACGCTTCTCATCATCTATTTACTTGACGCGCATGGACATTTAAAACCTGGCTCTTTATGGCTACCCGCCCGGTATATCTGCTCCTCTGCTTGCCCGACATGGCGAAGGAGAAAACGAGATCCCCCGTCAAATAGCATGATCTCGTCTTTGACCCGCATCATCATTAATTTTCCAGGGTGCGATGTCGACCCATTGCAAGAGGTCTTATTCGGGGATTCCGCCTTCTCACCTTCTCAGTGTCAGTTGGAGCACCAAGCGGGATAAACTTATAATACTTCTTGAGGGGCTAATGCATCAATTTTGTCCAGCTCAGAAAAAATGATAAAACAATTATCTATTTATTGCAGACAATCATTGGATTGCATATTTACATATTCCCACATTGCCTTTCGACTTTCTACAAAAGACAGGATTGTAAACAAAGATCACGCATGCACATTTCTAGAGCGAGAACCTCTTCACAATCCAAAGGATAAATACTTACTTATCTGAATGCCACTGCTTTTGAAGAAAAATCAGTGTTTGATTGATGTTCGAGCTGCCTCAGCTGTCCTCATCGTCAACAAGCCTGACCCCTGCCAATTGAGGCTTGCTATATATATACTTACATGTATGTATTTACATACTTGTACGTATTTACTTTTTGAGAATATTTGTCCTTAGGAATACCATTTTTGTTTACTTAAAAAGATTAGAGAGCCAAATTCCAGCAGCAGCTTCCCATGATGGTCCTGCAAACCAGTTTCCTTTCGCTGTCGACTTCCACGGAGGTTGCTATCAAAAGTTCTGGCACTAAAGATACAAATTGGAATGGCGTGGTTATTCATGCCTAGAATTATAGGCATGCTTATAGGGGCTCTTAGGCCCAAGCACAACCAATGGCTTTAAGGCACAATGCCTTCAATCTTGGCCTCAAATGATCTGAGCTAGAAGATAAGAAACCTAGGACTTTTCCTAACTGTTGAGCCAATAAAGTGGGCCTTTTTTAAACTTCCGGTGTGAGATGAGGGGCAAAAGAGGAACCCCTGATAACTAGTTATTGACTATTAATTAATAATAGTTATAAGTGATTTGTTCAGAATATAACTAACCAGTCACATAAGTTTGGTGAAATCTCATCGTTAAAGCGGTTCTAAACTAAATACGGCAGAGAGGCACGTGACTGGGGCATAGCCGGCAGTTAATGATCGCTGTTCGTTGAATTGATGTCATTCTGCTATCCCGCAGGCTCGAGAAAGACTTTCAGACTCCTGAGGACTCTTTATTCCTCCTCTGTCTTCAATACCTTGCTGTGCTCACGTTTTTAACTAGATATCCTGCTCGTATAACTACCAAGTCCATCAGTTACTCACTGTCATTTGCGCCCTCCCCTCTTCTCTCTTTGTTCTTTTTGAGGGCGTTTTGAAACCCTGAGAATTCCGAATGTGTATATATAGTACGCTGACCGTCGTCTTATCGAGATATACTTGGATGCCTGATCAGCTTCCCCAGCCTCTGACATGTCCTCTCCCTCCGTTGTCCATCTCCCCAATGACCTATCCCTCTCCATCACCCCCGTGTTCGGAGGTATTACCTTCAAGTTGAATGAAATGGCCGTAGGCACCTCCGTCCTGCCTCCGGGCTGGACTATTGTCATTCGAACAGAGAAACGCGACTCGAATCCTAAACAAGAGCATCTCTCACCCCCGCATTCCGTTGGATCCGGCGCAATCCATTCCGGGGAAGCGTCGTTATCGTCCACTCCACCTGGGACACCAACGGAGGACAAGCACCATCATGGCCCGTTCACAAAGCCCACTCTGAACAGCGACTACCTATTCATTTCCTCGATATCCCTTCCCTCTACCAGCGATTTCAAGCCCGCCACTTCTCCAACTCGTCAAATTGCCATGTTGCTTTATGCGACTCTTTGGTGGTATTTCCACCAACCTGCTCCAAGCCGGTTTGTCTCCACCGAAGAGTCCAAATCAACCCCTGACCCTGCAAAGCCGAAGGGGGAATGGCGCGTTTATATCAAGCGGCAGGGCATCTTCACAGGGAAACATCTCATGCAGAAGCTGGAACGGATGGGTTTGGTTAGAAGCGAAGAATCCTTTGTGGGCTGCCAGCCTTTTGATGTACACGATGCCACAGGATGGACGACCATGTTTATAAGCCATCGTACCTTTTGGCAAATTGATCCTCGCATTTTTCTCTTCAAGTTGTGTCCCCAGACGACCGTGCCACATACGGTCGAGTTTCCCATCACCCCACGCCCGAGTTCTGGCCCATTGGCCACGGAAATTGCCGGAAACATCAGCGGTTCAGGACTGATCAGTCCAACAGAAAGTATGTACTACGGTGTCCCCACTAGACACGGGGATCCATTTACTTCCGGGAGTTGTTTACCTACCTTTTTTCCACCGCCGCCTTCGGAATTTATCTTCACAAACGGAATCCGACATCCTGTCCGCCAGAAACCCCCACGACAAGGTGAAGTGTTTTACACCCGCTATATCCCTAGTTTAGGCCAGACACTGTCATTCCGGGTTCCACTCTTACCTCCCAAGCTCCCAACCGTCTTAGACAGCCTAAAATATTACCACACAAAATCCAGGAGCGTTGCCTCACTTTCAACCACGAGTTCTGGTGATGCATCTCCAAAGGAGTACCCCTCTGATATCGAACTCTTGTCCAAATGGATGAATAATCCTCGAGTGAGCAAAGCCTGGGGTGTTGCCGGGCCCCAATCCGTTCAAGAAAACTTTCTCCGTGATCAGCTCAACTCTCGACATTCCTTCCCTGCTTTTGGTTGCTGGGATGGCCAGCCGTTTGGGTATTTTGAAATATACTGGGTAAAGGAAGATCTCTTGGGAAGATTGGTACCTGGGCCGGTTGGCAACTATGATCGGGGTATCCACTGTCTTGTAGGTGAGGAAAGCTTCAGAGGGCCGCACCGGGTGCCAGTTTGGCTCTCATCCTTGGTTCATTTCTGCTGGCTGGCCGATAGCAGGACGGAAACTGTAATGATGGAGCCAAGGGTCGATAACACAAAGTAAGTCGAATCTATCCTTTCTGGATCAAACCGACATTATCAGTGACCAGTCATGGTGCCTCCTCCGATTCCCT